GATCTTGTCTTGCTGATCATTTTTGCTATTTAAAGTGTCTATCTATCTATTATAGTTTTCACGATGATAGGAAAAAACACAAAAAAATAATATAAACCAGCAAACAAGACCAATACTAGGTCTAGACCTGCGTAGCTGTATGCAATTGATTGACGTAACATGAATACCGGAGCATAACTGATCATTACCAGACCAAATTTTAAAATCATTCACTTCAATTGGAGCCAAGAAAAATTTGACGACAAATTTTCCTTGTACAGTATGTGTTGTAAAATTTCAAACTATCAGCAAACAGGAAGTGGTTACAAGGCAGATGATAAAACTGCTAACTCGCTACAACTCAAAATTATCAAGCTACAGACCAAATATTAAATTATTCTCTTTCATAGAAGTCGAGAAAACTTTGACAAAAATGTTCCTTGTATGATGAGTTTTATAAAGTTTCAAACTATCTGCAAACAGGAAGTGACTACAAGGCAGATGTAAAAACTGCTAACTCGCTACAACTCAACATTACCAAGCTACAGACCAAATATTAAATTATTCTCTTTCATAGAAGTCGAGAAAACTTTAACAAAAATGTTCCTTGTATGATGAGTTTTATAAAGTTTCAAACTATCTGCAAACAGGAAGTGGCTACAAGCAGATGTAAAAACTGCTAACTCGCTACAACTCAAAATTATCAAGCTACGGACCAAATATTAAATCATTCCCTTTCATAGAAACTGAGAAAACTTTGACAAAAATGTTCCTTGCATGGTGAGTGTTGTAAAGTTTCAAACTATCAGCATACAGGAAGTGGCTACACGGCAGGTGTAAAATTTGCTTACTCCTTACACCTCAACATTATAAAGCTGAAGACCAAATATTAAAATCATTCCCGAATATTGGGTGTTGTAAAATTTCAAACTATCAGCAAACAGGAAGTGGCTACCAGCAGGTGTAAAAATTGCTTACTTGCTACAACTAAACATTATAAAGCAGCAGACCAAAAATTAAATCATTCAATTTCATAGAAGCCAAGAAAACTTTCACTAAAGTTTTCTCTCAGACCGAAGGAAGGATGGACAGAGTAGAGAGGTTATTAGACCTGCTTCTGACTTCGGCGACAAAGGTAAAAATTTGTAAGGGATTCCGCGGAACCCTGTGTCTCACCTGCAATTGCTGCTGTCAGTGTAAGAGTAATGTTGACTTAAAAAGTGAGTCCATTTATCAGTAAAATACTTTTCTTTATGTGCTATTTCTTGGTCTTGAAGATTAGCTTCTGTCCAAGTTTCATAACAATCGATGAAGGTTTACAAATTTATCATGGGAACAAAATTAAATCCCGGAATGTCTGTAAATGTTAACTGTAAAAAAACTAAGTCTTTGATAAAAAAAATACTAAAAAATGAAAAATATATTTTTAAAGTTTGCTTCAGACCATTAAATAGCTTCTGCCAAAGTTTCATAGAAGGTTTGACAAAGTAATTGATGTGTAACAAACTTGTACCCCAGACTATATCTAATTGTTAACTGTAAAGTAAAACTAAGTTTATTTGTCAGTAAAATACGAAAAAAATGAAATAAATATTTTCAAAATTTTTCTCTGGATACTGTCTTTATGTCATAAACAAGCTTCAGTCGAAATTTCATTAAACTCCATGTAGGTTTTACAAAGTTTTTGATGTCTAAAAAACCTTTAACCACAGACTGAACCTAAATGTCTCGCTTTTGCCAAATAAGAAATAATAAATCCAATAAGGAGTGGACTGACGATTTCAGCCATTAGACTTATTTGTAGATCTTGTCTTGCTAATCATTTATACTGTTTAAAGTTTCTATTATAGTTATAAAGATATTATGCAAAAACTGTGAAAAAAAATGGTAAATTTGTCATTTCAAGGCAATCACTCCTATAAGAAGTTGCAGTTTTGATGTAAATAGGCAGGTAAATCTAAACATTTTGAACATTTTTGCCCCTGTCGGATTTTCTCTATTTACAGCAGCCTTCAAGATAATAGACACAACTCACATTTTATCCCTATGTTCTATTTTTAACCATGTCAGCCATGTTGGTTGGCAGGCAGGGTCATCGGACACTTTTATAAAACTAGATGCTCCAATGATGATTGTGACCAAGTTTGGTAAATTTGGCTCAATAGTTTCAGATGAGAAGATTCTTGTAATAGTTAACGGACAACGGATCCCAAATGATGTGAAATGCTTACTTGGCCATGGTGAACTAAAATTTATAGTTTTTTTTTTTAAAGTAGTCACTGAACCATGAAAATGAGGTCAAGGACATTGGTCATATGACAGACAAAAACTTCTTAACATAAAGCATCTATATACAAGGTATGAAACATCCAGGTCTCCTACCTTCTGAAATATAAAGCTTTATACAAATAGTTTATGCTGCCGCTGCCAGATTGTAATCCCTATGTTTCCCATACTGTGACTTATTCCCAGCAGAGACAAAAACATCAGTTATATGGCAGATTCCAAATAAGAAAGTTGAAAAATTCCCCAAATTATGTTTAACAAAATCAACACCAATGAAGTTCTGTTTTGGAATACATGTTATACTTATACAAGTAAAAACTTTTTGACAAAAAATAAATCTATTCACATTATATTTTTTAAATAAAGGACACCATAAAAATATGTTGCTATCATAAGAAAAATAACCGACTTTGATGGAAAATTCTTATGTTAGCAACACAAACAATCCTGATATCTTCAGTATTTTCAAGATTTGGATGCATATCTTGCTTAAATATGAAAGGCAAATTGGAATAAAATATTTCTTAACATCTGCACCAATAAAAAAGGAATTGTAATAACTTTAAAAAAGGATTATCTTGGAATTGCTAACATAAGATTTGACAGACATGAACAATGCTGCTAACATAAGATTTGACAGAAATGAAGTTGTAGCTAACATAAGAATTGACAGACTTTATTGTTGCTAACATAATATTTGACGGACTTTTTTGTTGCTAACATAAGATTTGACGGACATTATTGTTGCTAACATAAGATTTGACAGACTAAATAGTATTGCTAACATAAGATATTGACGGACTTGTTGTTAAAATAAGATTGTGCTAACATAAATAAATTTGACAGACAATATATATTTGAGATTTTTAACTAACATTGGAGATCTTATCCTAGATGAAAGTCATATTAAGAACTCCTGCAAAATAACGCAGCCTGACATTTAACAAGATGTCAACCCAGGACAGATAACTCTAATTTGTAGCACATCCAAATGTTGCTAACATAAGATGACAAGTTTGACAGAACTTATGTTAGCAACAGATTTGATCAAACTATTGATTAAATAAAGTAAATTGAAAGATCCAAAATGTGTTTGGTTAATGTACATTATGAAATACAATTTTAACAGGCTTATATAAGTACCTACAATGATGTGGCAAGATTTTATGAACATGTTGCTATCATAACATTTATTGACAGACGAGCATCTAATAAGCAAGGTATTTGAAATTGAAAAAAATATATATCACAGATGTTTTTAACAAAAGAAAAGCAAAAGATTTGGAAACAGGGATGTTTGAATAATTAGACTACACTAATAAAAACCATTATACCAGTGTCAACTTAAAGCATTGTAACACATAAACCTTGTGTCAAAAAATGGGAAGTAATTTCCGTCAAACATTTCACATTTTTCAACTTGTTTTTATCATTTCTACTTTTAATGGAAACAATCATATCCAATAATTGGTTTTCTTGCTTTATTTAACATTACTATTCAATAAAACATTCACATATTATCATTCAAATAACAGTTAGTATTATTTTTATTAATTTGTTCTTTTTGACGGAAATTTTCTTTTCTTTATGGAATCTGCCATTGTTATTTCTTGTAAAATGTTTTCAGTCTTATATGTACTGTTTGTATTTTTAGTTTTTTTCTTTGTGCTATTAACTTGTCTGCCCTTCTTGACCTATGACAATTTACCCCATCCTGAAAGGATGTAATCCTATATTTTTTTAAAATAAAATCAAAATCTTCTGACCATAATTCATAATACTTCTGGGTTTTTTTTGCCAATCAAGTTTCAAAAGGGTTTGGGAAATATCTTTTTCTTTTTTTTTTGTCATGTCATAACTGGAAAAAATACATACATTTGTTTACCTGAATATTTCAATCAGTTTTAATGTAAAAGTGAAACCCTGAAATAATTTTAGAAATGTTTAGCAGCATGTATCCTCCCCATGTGTATTGACTATATATACCTGTCTGGGACATTACTTAAATAAATAACGTTTTTTAAATTACCTATACAACATGTACAAGTTATGTTGACAATGAGGCTCTTTTGAATATGACTATTTTAAGTTACTTTTGTAAAAATCATTTACAGAGGTGTCCATTCATGCAGATTTTACTAGCTTAAATAAATTTTCTCGTATATATGGTTATTATCCCCATTAAGTCTACAAACTACTTCCCGTGAAACACTAGTCGCATTCCAGACACACTTTCATTTAATATTGACACTGATTGGTCTTTTGGGAATTCAAAATATCTTTTGCCTTCAAAATCTTGAAGATAGACTGCTATAAAAAGATGTTACATGAGATTTAGTTGAGACTTGAAGTTATTTATCATTTGTAACCCAAAATAATTAAATATTTTCCGTATCAAACATTTGTAACCCAAAATAATTAAATATGTTCCGTATCAAATTGTAATTATCAATTATTCTAAATATGTTTAAAATAACTTACAGAAGTAATATTTTTGTCCTTTTCAAAAGTAACGTTTAATCTGTATACTTCTCTCAATTTTAATTAATTAATTTTATATAATAAAATAATGTAAAAATTTATAAAAACTTCATGTAGTCCATGTTTCTATTGAAATTTGAAATAACTCTATTGAGTAGTTTTTTCTTCAAAATTACCTACATAGATAACTTTTTAATTACTTGTTTAAGTAACGCCCATCACTGTATGCCATGTCTAATTTATCCAATGCTTACCTTTCTTCCATACCTCTCCTTCTAATTCTACACTGGACCATGTGTTTATATAGTAACCTCTGGATGAGGTCAAGGGTGTAGCTGTTTTCTCTATCTCATCACAATCATCACACCAGGGTATAATAACAATATCTATAAACACATGAACAACATTCAATTAATGTGATATCAGTTATGTCTATCAACAAATTAACAATCATCACACCAGGGTATATCAATGATATCTACAAACAGGTATACTTGGTCAGGTTGTTATCTCTTTGACACATTCCCCGTTTCCATTCTCAATTTTATACTGTCATCACACCAGGGTATATTACTGATATATATTAACACATAAACAACATTCATATTATGGGATATCAGTGATATCAACAACAAACAATCATCCTACCAGGGTATATTATTGATAATTATTACCGATACCATCATGTCATATTTCTGATATTATCAAAGCTGAGTAGATACTCCTCAAGTGGTCAATACTCCTCAATCTGATGGATTAAAATTCCACTTTTACTTTTTGTGCATCTGTTTTTGTTAGATATATGTTTTATAATTTTATTATTTTTTCACCATGTCAAGGAATGTTTTTGTGCGAAATATTTACCATGTGAGAGTTAGATATTTTTGTGTGATATGGTTTATCATGTGGCAGTGTGATGATTTTGTGTGATATGTTTTACCATGTCAAACTGAATGTTGTTTTTGTGCGATATGTTTTACTTATAAGAAAGTGTTAAGTTAATCTGCAATATGTTTTACCAAGTGAGAGTGTTATGTTTTACCATATGAAAGTGTAATGTTTTGTGTGATATATTTTATCATGTGAAATTGTAATGTTTTGTGTGATATATTTTATCATGTGAAAGTGTAACTTTTTGTGTGATATATCTTATAATGTGAGAGTGTAATTTTTAAGGGTTATGTTTTACCATGTCAAAATACTGTTTTTATGGTATATGTATTACCATGTCAAAATGCTGTTTTTGTGGTATATGTATTACCATGTCAAAATACTGTTTTTATGGTATATGTATTACCATGTCAAAATACTGTTTTTATGGTATATGTATTACCATGTCAAAATACTGTTTTTGTGGTATATGTATTACCATGTCAAAATGCTGTTTTTGTGGTATATGTATTACCATGTCAAAATACTGTTTTTATGGTATATGTATTACCATGTCAAAATACTGTTTTTATGGTATATGTATTACCATGTCAAAATGCTGTTTTTGTGGTATATGTATTACCATGTCAAAATACTGTTTTTATGGTATATGTATTACCATGTCAAAATACTGTTTTTATGGTATATGTATTACCATGTCAAAATGCTGTTTTTGTGGTATATGTATTACCATGTCAAAATACTGTTTTTATGGTATATGTATTACCATGTCAAAATACTGTTTTTGTGGTATATGTATTACCATGTCAAAATACTGTTTTTGTGGTATATGTATTACCATGTCAAAATGCTGTTTTTGTGGTATATGTATTACCATGTCAAAATACTGTTTTTATGGTATATGTATTACCATGTCAAAATACTGTTTATGTGGTATATGTATTACCATGTCAAAATGCTGTTTTTGTGGTATATGTATTACCATGTCAAAATACTGTTTTTATGGTATATGTATTACCATGTCAAAATACTGTTTTTATAGTATATGTATTACCATGTCAAAATGCTGTTTTTGTGGTATATGTATTACCATGTCAAAATACTGTTTTTATGGTATATGTATTACCATGTCAAAATACTGTTTTTATAGTATATGTATTACCATGTCAAAATACTGTTTTTGTGGTATATGTATTACCATGTCAAAATACTGTTTTTATGGTATATGTATTACCATGTCAAAATACTGTTTTTATGGTATATGTTTTACCATGTCAAAATACTGTTTTTGTGGTATATGTTTTACCATGTCAAAATACTGTTTTTGTGGTAAATGTATTACCATGTCAAAATGTTATGCTTTTGTGTGATATGTTTAACCATGTGAGAGCATCATGTTTTTGTATGATATGTTTTACCATGTCAAGTGTTATGTTTTTGTGTTATGTTTTATCATGTGAGAGTGTCACATAGTGTCATATAGTTTACCATGTCAAATTTTTATGTTTCTGTGTGACATGTTTTCAAATGAGTGTGTGCTTTTAAGTGTTATGTTTTACCATGTCAGAATGTACTGTTTTTGTAATATATATGTTTTACCTGATAGTGCTATGTGTCTTTCAAATTCCACTGTCAATTGATGTACCACAAGGAAACTTCTCTGCTGTAAATCTGTTTCATCATACTTCACACTGCATTCTGTAAACTTTACACAACTACCTTCTGTAACCTATAAATAGAAGAATACCTCCCACTGCATTATGTAAACTTTATAAAACTACCATCTGTAACCTATAAGTAGAAACATACTTCACACTGCATTATGTAAACTTTTCACAACTACCTTCTGCAAGCTATAAATAGAATCATAGATCACACTGCATTCTGTAAATTTTCTACTACATTAAGAGATAACATATCAATGCAACCTCTTCTATAACTTTAACACAGTGTAAGCTTTATAGTACCGTACTTAATTTTTACACAGCTTATCACTGTAATAACATAAATGATACCAATTTTTATGCACCAGATGATGCTCGAGGCCAAAATATTTGAATATCCAAAATCTAATACAAATGTTAAGGAGCGGATCAACCAAAAAGGACCTAAACTTCTGTAAGATACAAATAGAAATAAATTTAACTTTGCACTCAATAAATTGTGTACACACAATCCTGTCATGGCTGTAAATGCTAAAAATAAAAACAAACTTCACATTAGTTTGTAACTTAAAAACAGCTATAACAATTTTCTTTTTGCAAAACTCCTTTCAAATATAAAATGCATTTAATTACAACTGATCATGTCACCTAAAATAAGTTTCATCTGCTTTTGAGTATCATGTTATTAAAATCTATTACAGCATATTTTTATTTAAAGTATACCACACCATATCATTTATTGGATTACAATAAATTCTGAATGAAAGCATATATATATATTAGGGGTCAAGGTCAAATAAACTAAAAAGAGAGTGAAAATAATTGCATTTGTTGTGAAACCATTTATTTCTAAGCATCAGTTATTGATTTTTTCATCATATTTATTAGGACATGGTTAACTTACTTGGCCACTTTGTATATATATGGATAAACTGGAATCTAACACAACTTTTCTTTTTGTAACTCTGTCTGTTACTAACAGCTCATAAACATCTACTGTAGCTGCACTCCCAAGGCCAAGTTGTGATAGGTGTAATGGGTCAGACAGATATCTATGTATGTGTAAAACCTGTTGGAAAAAAAGGTCATTATATAGTTCAACCATTAGTACATATATTTGTATTTGTACTCTCTAGCTATGGTTAGTGTAATATGTTGGTCAGTTATCAGTGTACATGTATGTGTAAACAAATTGTCAGAAAGATTCAAATGTGACACTGTTCTCAGTCTTCAGTAATCAAAGCTTTGAAATTTGTATGTAACATTTTGTAGTGTGTATTTAACATTAATAATTGGTTAACTGTCAATACACACGTATTTGTAGTCTTCTTTTCGTGTGAATACATGTACCACTGTCACTCTAATTTAATTATTGTCAGTTTATTGTCTCAATTGTTCTATACTGTATGCCATAACAATTTAATGTATATGTGTTTGTGCAAATAAATATTGTCTTTTGTATAAATGTATGTATAAATAATCAAATGTACATGTAACTACCAGACTACATGTATTCAGAGAAACCAAAAGCTGACACTCTTTTACTTAAAAAACGCAAAAAAGCTTGAAAAGATATTTCAATTGATAACAGATCATGTGTAGAACAGATTATCGTGAAAAGAAATTAACTGTAAATTCATTCTGATGAAAAAATTTGGAATATAATTTAAAATGTAGTTTTTTCTCACAAACACATAGACAGACAGAGTTGGGTGGTTATTCATGTTATAATTTAGACCTGCTTCCTAAAAATAATTTTTCAACAGACAAACAGATGGATGGACAGACAAAGGGATGGATAAGTGATTGCAAGGTTTAATAAAAATAATGTATTGCTGTATTACTACATTTACTTGTATTGTTCTTGTATGGTAGGGCCTTGGTGACCAAGTGGTCTAAGTAGTTTTACTACTGTAATCACCGGTAGGTCTTTTCACCACCGAACACCACGGCACACCGTCGAACACCACCGAACACATTAAAATACCATCTAACACACCTAAATATATTGTTTTCATCTTTATTTATATATTTGACTTACCTTCTGAACGAGGATGAATATGTTTATACATATATACTGTATACACAAATTAATAAGAAATGATAACAAGAGAACCAAAAAGAACAGTCTTGCAGGGCTGTTGTCAGCATGGTCAGAACAGTACACTTTCAAGTCTAACATTTTTTTAAATATAATTATTGTGATAATTTCACATTAAATAAAATGTTTTTTTTAAGCTTATTTGAACAATTTATTTCTAATAATTGAAAAGTAAAGACCATAAGATAATACACAATACAATGAAATACAGACAATGTAAATCTGGAAAAAATATTGCTGGAACCGGAAGCGATTCTCAACTTAAACATGTCTAATGCACATAAAAATGTGAAGAAACATGACAATAGGATTAAATTTTACGTAATTTAATTGATTTTATTGTTTTATTGTGTAAAATTATTGTTTGTCTTAAGGGTTGGTGGTCTTTTTGGGTGTTCGGTGGTGTGCGGTGGTGTTCGGTGGTGAAAAGACCGACCCCTGTAATCACTAGCCAGTCAACACTGAGGTTGTGAGTTCGAACCCCGCTCGTGCGGGTGCACTCAACTCCAATCTTAATTGACTGTGCGTACTGTTGTGCGTTTGTTTTTTCTACATTGGCTAGAGGTATAAGTGGAGGGTTGAGATCTCAAAAAACACATGTTTAACCCCGCCGCATTTTTGCGCCTGTCCCAAGTCAGGAGCCTCTGGCCTTTGTTAGTCTTGTATCATTTTTAATTTTAGTTTCCTGTGTATTATTTGGAGTTTAGTAAGACGTCCATTATCACTGAACTAGTATATACATATTTGTTTAGGGACCACCTCCGGGTGCGGGAGTTTCTCGCTGCATTGAAGACCTATTGGTGGTCTTCAGCTGTTGTCTGCTCTATGGTCAGGTTGTTGTCTCTTTGACTCATTCCCCATTTCCATTCTCAATTTTATTAGGATTGTCAGTTTTCCTATCGACGGTCAGTGGTTTTCTCCAGGTTTTCTCCGGCTTCCTCAACCTATAAAAACTGACCGCCACGAAATAGCCCAAATGTGGCGCTTAAAGTGGCGTTAAAACACCAACAATCAATCAATCAATCTTGTATGGTGTAAAAAAAATCCCATTTTATGATTTATAAATTATTTATCCTTCCCTTTTGACTTTTCATAATATGCCAGCTTTAGCTGGCACTTATGGTAGAAGCATCGAATTGGAATAAAGAACGATAACTCTCTCTACATGATCAATCTAAAAAGTTTCGTCACTCTCGTTAAATCTCGTACGATTTTTTTTTTTTAATTTCGAAGTTGATCAAGTCAAGTTATCTAACTCTAAAAAATATTTTTTTTCTTTTTTTTCCTTATATTTATTAAACAAATATTGTATTCTTGCTTGGCTCCAAATATAAAGTCAATTCTTTAAATAATGAAAACGAAATTAGCATTGGAATATCCGTCAGGACATGGTCAGGACATTAGTTTAACCCTTATATTTTTAATGGCTGCCAGATTCTCGTTTAATCGCGATCTTGAAAAAACGGGACAAAACGGAATACATTCGATGTTAAATACGACATGAATTTTTATTTGTTTACAAAAACAAGAATTTAGAAATTTTAGTAACTTGTGTAGTTTATTTAAATTTTGTTGTACCACGGAAATAACCGAAGTTTGGACAACATCTTACGCCATGTTTCGTCATCTGCTTCATCTTTCCATTATCAGTGACAAATAACCACAGGTACTTCATTTAAAAGTTACAATATCATAATTTATGATAACATTTGTAGTGTAAAAGTTCCGTCCAGCCATGGGAACACAGAAAAACCCTCTGCAAGCAATAAATTTCGGGAGAAATGTAGCCGGAGGTAGTAAAATCCGCTGCTCTGCCTCTGGTTGACCATGACTACTAGCTATTATAATTATCTGCTACAGAATTTCCCATATCAAGTTACAGTGATAATGAAGTTGGTTATACTGTTGAATGTGGTCACGGTTATTCCTGTAGCTCACAGACAAATGCAGGTGAAATTCAAAACTTAACAAAAGTTTTAAACAAAAAAAATATATTCAAATTCACTATTCAGACACTATCTGTAGACTGTACTTCCTTTGACAAACTCTCAACAGATCTTGTCATTAATTATGACACATATCTACCTTAAACAGTCCCAGGAGATGGAGACTGGTTTTTTTTCACTCTCTAAGTTTAATCATAAAACAGCTGTAAAAGGAGACTTGAGTCTGAGTGATACATTTATAATATAGGTACATATATATTGTATGCACCCATATTGTCAAAAATAGGATTTTATGGGAAGATGGATTATGATAATCCATGATAATACCATGACTTTTGATAGGTATAGAGCATGTTACTTGGAAGTATGTGGGCTACATCCTTTGAAATTCAAGCTGCCGACACATTATTTGGATGCAATATAAATAATTCCCTCCCGCAGTCGCCTGTATATTTTATGCGTCAGTTTAAACCTGATCAAAACATTTTCCCTCTACTGAATACTTTTATCAGGTGCACATTTCAACCTATTAAAGCAATAAACACAGTACACTTATGGCTATAACATCACAGTTCCCAAATTGCACCGAGTACCCAATTTGCACCTATTCAACAAAAATAACTGCAGAAATCTTACAAGTTTTCTTTGAGACTAAACAATTTGTATTATAATGATTTGACATTATACATGTCTTTCAACATCGGTTAATATATTTAAATATACACAAATCGTTCACAATGAGAATATATCAACAGATGAAGCATTCCCGGGAAAAAGTAAATCTACGAAAACGTCAGTGTTGTCACCATGCGAAGTTATCTAATTATCATCTTTTAAAAATGTAAGCAACTTCACAACTACAAGTTAATTTTCATGACCAAAATAAAATAAAGTACAAACAAAAAAGCAATAAAATGCTTCGCCAAGCACAGCCTAATACAACCACAGATGTACATTTAGCATATAAAAAAACACCAAAAATTTTATGGCAGTTGAAATCAAACATATTTTAATTTTGGACCCTTCAAACTTTAATATGGACTAATTTGAAAACAGATATCAGGTGAGCCCGAACATTTCTATTCAGCAGCAGTCTCCAACTACATATCTCCTTAATTTTATATGATAGTCCCACAAAAATGTTGAAAAATTATGTGTACATTTAATTTTTTTTTCTAGATTCTCTCATGTCATACATGTAAAAGCGGTACCTTTTTGGTCACTATTTATGTGTTGCATCTAAATATGAATTGTAACACTTTATAGTGACTGACCAGGTCAAACAAATACTTCTCAAGAAACATGCAGAGAAAGAAGACAACTTGGAACAGCACCAGCCATGCCAGACTATGTATGACTAAAAACTCAGATCGGAATAGCATGGACGATATGTTAGTTATATGTCCTTGTGAATAGTAAGGAAAGCTATCAATAATTCTGCAGATAACGCAATTTTATCATGTTTATCGTACATTTTCTGTTCAAATTTTCACACAATCAGTGAATCGTTCAAAAAGGCTAAACTAACTTTTTATTACTGAAAGTTTCAAACAATTACAATGTTTCATTCATGAAATAACTTGTGCGTTTCTGCGAAAAAAATCATGTGCAATTTTGTGAATTAAAGGGAAAGAAGATCCTTTTGCGGTGCACTCGCGCATGTCAATTGCGAACTGACCCAATATATTTTCTTTATCATGACCAGTTCACTGATACTGACGTCGACATTATCAAGAAGTACACATCAAAGGAAAAATGCACAAATTACCGATAAAATAATTTACACACCCTGTTACATATGTATCTCCTACCATATCAGTATTTGTTGCATTTATATATAAATGCGAAATAATCAATATAAAAATGGTAAATTTTTGGAGAAAAAACCCAAAAATTATGGAAAAAACAACCAAAAAAAGTTGTTTTTGACCACTGACTCCTAAACTGTTGGTACCATATGATAAGTTAACCCCCAAAATCAATTCTAACCTTCCTTTTGTGTATTGAAGTTGAACCTTCTGGTACAATTTCATAAATTGTCATAGAGATCCATTTACTTAAACTAAAGTTATTGTCCGGAAACCAAATGTGTCTTCGGACAACAGTGACATGATTGCATTACTCGAAAGCAAATTTTTGACATATTCCCCATTTCCATTCTGAATTTTATTTTGCCATCATATAAAAAATTGAAAAGTAAGCTTATAAAACAAAATGCAAAAATGACATAAAACTGACTCTGAATTAGTACATGAAATTGATGTAGAAACCCACAAACAGAAGATGATCAGGAATACATTTATACTGCTGAGCAGTGTTCTCCCCTCAAATTTTAAATAGCATCCTAGAAAATAGCAAAATCTTTAGATTATCAACTTAACAATCCTATTTATGGTTCCTTATGCTTAGATCAAAATGAAAAACCTGATAAAAACATTATTTTAAACAGGCTCACTGTAAATTCAAACTCTTCTTTTAACAATCAGAATGATCCTCTTGCTGATCACATATATATGAGATGCAGGAAACTGGGAATACAATATGAACATCCAGCTAATTTACAAAATAAAAATAATTCAACAAACAGAAAGCATTGTTTGCAATACTAAATAAAAAAAACAGCTTCAACTTTTAGATATTGATGAAAAAGATATTCCAATTTATTTTCAGCAGAAAACAATATGGACAATAAGGGTGCAACCATTTAGCTTCAAAAGGGTAGGGGGGAGGTATGGTTTTTTATTTGAGTTAGATAAATTTCATGCAAAGGGGTGCTATCAATCAAAATTATTTGGTCAAAAATTAACACTAGAAGGTATGGGGATAATCTGGATTCAGAATATTTTTTGTCCTCTGCTTGATTAGAATATTTTTTTTTCATCAATTTGGGAATCAGAATATTTTTGAAGAAAAAAAAACATACTCCATCCTGCCTTTTGAAGTTCAATGATCGTTCCCTTAACATTTTCCATCTGAACTTATTATTTTATTTTAGACAAAAACTATATGTAGAACATTCGTCCTGAACAGGCATGAAATATTTGCCACTGGACGTTAAGCAAACCAACAATCAATCAATATGTAGGACATAGTCTTGGTATTAAAGCTGGCATTCAAGGTAGCGCCTTCCTCATATTATTTAGAATTGCCATATTTTGTTCCTCATTAGGATTTACAACGTTGGAGCATGAAGTTGGTACTTCTGTTATTTTCATAATCTTACATAAGCAGTGAATTCTAAGAATTCTGTTCCTGTCAACTCGCAATGTTCAACAACGTTTTTTAGAGATTGCAAGTTTGTTTTTTCCGCCATTAACCTATATCTGGTACCTGGATGTAATATAAGTTATCTACGTTCATATCCGTAGATATGGATATTTTAACACCCTGAAGTATCCAAGTACACCCTGAGGCGAAGCCGAAGAGTGTACAGGGTACTGAAGGGTGTTAAAATATCCATATCTACGGATATGAACGTAGATAACGAATTTATCCCCGGTCTTAGTCCAAATCTTGCGATTTTTAGAGAAATTCAACCACAAAATGTAACGTGAAAGCAACGTTTTTTTTTCATTTTTAAAATCTTTTATTGAAATTTGAGAATTTGACATATTTTTAATGGGGTGTAGGGTACTACCTTTGGTAGAACCCTACAGGTAGTCAAATATAAGACGTTTTTAATCCAGATACAGAGAAACGGGAATGGGTCGAATTTGGCGCTCAATGTTGTGAGTGTTACATTATAGACGATGTGACGTCAACGTGGGTCATTTGCATAGCTAGGTCAGTAGTCCCATTCATTGACAATGTGGCAGCCAAGTAATGCATTTACTAAAATGAGTGCAAATGATCGACATAATAAGATAAAATCGTTAGTTGATTAAATATTTAATTACAGACATCATGGGTAATCTACAGAATTCGATATTTCACAAGGAACAACCATGGAATAAAGGAAAACGCGCGTGATGTTCCCCGTTATAATGGGTAGCAACGTCCGGGTATATGGGTTAGCAACACCCAGGGGCTATGGGTTTTGTAACGACGTCCGTTAACCAATCAAAATCCTAGAAATATACTAAGCCGGGGATAATTTCCTTTACTCCTTCACAATCATACACAGCTGAAGAACCAGTACCAATATGTTCTGGCCAGTTTGATTCTCATTAGAATCATTCTAGGTAAATCTAAAGTACCAAATTTAAGTTAAAACAACAACAAACAACATAACTTTGGAAAAAATTCCTTCAATGACATACCAATGAAAGGTGGAAAGATTTTACCTACTTCTTGAGTGCACACACACACTGGCTGAGTTATACACATTACCTGAGTTCAATATAGGTATTCTCTTTAGTTTCATTACATCACAATGCATCATTTGTCTTGTAATAAAGGTATATGGGTAAAAAAAAAATTAGGAGACAAGTGCCTGTGCATCACAAATATGAAATGACCAATCAGGTTACAGCATAAAATATTACAAAACATGATCAAACATTAGTCCCTAGGCCTATTTTGATAAGATATAACTTTGAATAGGAACCGCAAAAGGTTTGTTTATCATTTCATGGAAATTAAATATCTAAAGCTGAAATAAAGCCATATCCAATGCTCTTCTATGAAACTAGTAAATGTGAATAAATCTAATAATCATCCAATAGGGGTTTTCTGGGAACAATTTTTTTTCTATCTTTAATCAAAAACAAACTATATTTTTTTAAATAGCATACAGGTACAAAAATTTTTTTTTGAAACTCAAAGTTGAATTTATTTTTCACAAGGTTACAGTCTGCAGGAAGACATAACACCTTACCCTTACACATTATTCTGACTCCGAGCCAACCAGTCTTTGCTCTTACTCCTTAATGCCACATGCTTAGCAGAGAAGCAGCAAATACCATTTTTAAAGTCTTTGGTTTATATAGGTTTATATAGGTCTCATGTAATTAGTGTAAACATCCTTACCACATAAAAGTAGAGATTATTTGATTAGGTGTAAAATTTGATCTATGCATTCTATCCAAAATCTGAGACACCTTTTTTGTAGATAATGGCTCTAGGAACAACATATTATAAAATCAACCCTCTCTGGGTATCCATGGAGAAGCTAATTTCAATTGAAAGTGGAAATTTCTTGTAAAATTTTGTAGACACAGTTAAAATTATAACTAATTACATAATTGTTGTATAATACTAACATTGCATTAATTTGAAAGAGTAATCTGTTAGCTTTCCATAATTACCACTTTTATAAATTTTCAAGCATTATAAAGAAAGTTATAGCATTTTAAAACTGGGGAGTTGGAGGTATAAAATCTTTGTATTGTGCTACCTTAAGTATATGACCCTCAACACAAAACCACAAATGGAGAGTGGAAACTAAGAACAGTAGATGTTTGCAAATTATATACAGGATGATAAAATGTTTAGGAAATACCCTAGGAAGATTTGTCTCCCCTACATGGACAAATAATTTTGACTCCAGGCCATCTAGTCTTTGCTCTTACCTCTGAAAGCAAGGTGCTAGACAGAGAAGCAACAAGTCTTTGGTTTACCCAGACACCCATCTAACCCATGGCCTTCTACACTTTAGGAGAGCAGGCTACCATGAGACCACTGAGGCATTTAAATTCCCATGTCTGGACAAGGCATAAAAATATCAATGCAAATTCAAAAACACTAATTTATTTTCATTTTATTTGTATTTTCATCTTTGATGTCAAATGACAAATGTAATTCTCACATAATTCACATATAAATAAACATTCATTTACTTTTAATAATTTACATCTCATTTACATGTAATTCATTCACATTCTATTCAAACAAACAAAGTTAAACCACTAACAAATATTATTAAGACTAATTTCATTTCTCAGATATTCTTTTTTTTTTTTTTTTAGAATAAAACATGCCCCAAAAATAAAACAATCAGCAAAAAAGACTAAATAAATTTTTTTAAAAAGTCTGTACGGTGACCTATAGTTGTTAATTTGAATTTTGGTGGATAGTTGTCTCATTAGCAATCATACCACATCTCCTTATTTTCATAATGATTGATGCTGTGAAACTAATATATAATGAATAAATAAAAGAAGAATGTGTCTGAGGACATGAATGCCCCCTTTCAAGCTTCAAACAAACAAAGATGGGACGGACAAAAAGACTAATGGTCAAGAGTAGCATAAAAACAGCATCATAAAGTAACGCATTTATCTTATTCTAAAATTATCAAATGACCTTGACCTTAGACCTATGACTTTCATAAATAGGATCGTCTTGCAGAACTACTGAACCCATTTTGGTTGAAAATTTCAACGTGTTACAGACTGGATAATAACATCAGACATATAGCTTGATTAAATGGTATATTTATAGGTTTCTTCACGAGAGAGAACTATATAATGCTGGATATCAACTCCAGTCATTAATTTCAATATGAAAAAAATGAACAAGCATGTAGATAATGCTTGATATCAACTCCTGTTATTTAATTTCAATATTATAATAAACCAGCAGCTGAGCATTAGGCAAGTTTATTATTATTATTAAGATTGAAGAACGAGAGATGGTCACAACCATAAGAAAACCTTGACAAACTTCATTTTTTTTACAGTGAAATTAGATACATTTCATATTTCTGTAATATACAAAGATGTGTTTGCTTGCAAGAGAGTATTAAATCAATACTTATAGTTAGATTTTGATTTCAGAGAAAATACATCAATATTTGTTTGATTAATTATAGAACAATAGGATAAAATCAATACAATTAATTATCATGTAAAAGATACTATAAATTCAGTCAAAAAGTTTTTTTTAGTACAATTTTCTGATTTTTGACTTATTTTCATGTGGGCCCCTCACTCCTTACTGAAAGTCCTGGATTTCCCATTGAATGTATGTACATATTGTGTAAATCTTATTAATATATGTTTTGCACATAATATTCAACCATTTATAAAATTTTATTCAATGTCTTAATATATTGACCCTTTAGTAAAAATTTATGGCACAACATACAGGTAACAATGTTTTTGTCTGAGTATTACAACAGATTGTTTATCAAAATGAAAAAACTTACTTAATATCGTTATCAGGATTTCTATTTCAAATATAGCATACAACTAAAGATAAATAAGAAAAGACAATTTATTTTTTAATTATAATTTAATATATTACTTTAGATAAAATAATCATTAATAATTGTTTACTTTGATGTTTGATCTGCTATAATTACATTAAATTTTAGGTTGAAAAAAAAGTAACTGTTTTAAATATAATAGATAGGTTTCGATTGAAACAATTTGAGAAAGAGTTACTTCCCTTTTGTCATCATGTTAGAGATCTAGGTGCACAAATTCTTTCATAAGTCAGCCGAATTCAACTTGTGAAACTGACCGCTAGACTTTAGAAAAAGTTGTTTTCTGAACAATTTTAATTTCTTTGAGCCTTGCTAGATTCATCACTATGATCTAGTAAGTATGTTTTATCAGACTTGTTTGTATCGCATTTCAATTTGGTGAGTTTACTCCTCAAAAATGGAGCCAAGGGAAATAGCTCGAACTCAAATTGTGTCATATTGAAACCTATCTTTTGTAAACAAATTTAAAACATATATATTCAATCCTGCTTCCAATTTATCACTTCCAAACATCTAATTATTATTTCATTATTTTGAAACATTATTTCGTTATCTTAGATATGATAAATCATGCACTATTTCCAAAAACTGAAAAAACTAAGAAACGAAATAGTACTTGAAATAATGAAATAATAAAACATCGAAAAAACAGAATAGTTGTTAAAGAAATATTTCATTTTCTTACCTAATATAAAATAAATAACATTTCAAAATAATTAAAAAAGAATAATTTCCTCGGAAAAAATAAGCCAGGTTCCAGTAATATACTGACTGACCTTACTGCTGCTTAAAATAGTAAAGGTGTAATACCACCATTGATTTTCCCCTATTAGTCTTTGTTAAATTTGCACTTTTCAAAAAATTGTGCAGAATTTATCTTTGTTTCAAATAAAGAAATACTTGGCATGAGTAAAGTTTTATCCTGTCCAGTACTATAGAAAAAATTTCATATAACATTTCATTGCATATAAGAAAATAACCATCACTGGAAGTTAACCAATCAAATTTTCCCCCTTTTTTAACCTGTGTACAAGCTTTAGTAACCATGTAACCTCAAGTTTCCAAAATATTCTATAGAAACCCCAAATAAAGAAATAATGGTGCTTTGAAATACCCAAGATATATGTTTATGACTCAGAAATGTTTTACTGCAATGAAATGTAGGATCAATTACCTACAACTGTCAAATTCAAGGGAATATTTTTTTTCGACCTATTTTCGTATGCAACCGGATGTGACGTACTATGATTTGGTGGTATTACACCTAAAGAAGACTTTTTTGTTGAATAAACTGAATGTGACTTTTTTCCTTTGTAATACTGGTTATTTCAAGCATTCCTGTCAAGTTTTGTCATAATCAGTTCAATATTTTGAGAAAAATCTAGTATAATGTAAGACGACATCTACAGCGATTCGAGCAAAATTTCTTCGAAAAATTCAAACCAAGCCGCATCATGATAGAATATAGTGTGGACCAATAAATGATCAAATATTTATCTCATCTGCCTACAAACAGTTGAATATGATACAAAAGATGACTTTAGGATGATAAATACTACTAATGGACCTCTTATTCTTCCTTATAAAGTCTCTTTTGGTCCATTTATACCTCTCATTTCCTCAAAATTTCTACTTTTTAGGCCAATAAATAAAAATTTGGGGTAACTTTCACTCATTTATGATAGAAATGTTATTATAAATGATTAATTGAAGTATTCAAGCTGCTTGAACTATCCGTATAAAAGTTTACTGTCTCCAAGGAGGTTTCAATAAGTCCTTGCGTAAAACTTAAATTTACGCCGCGTTCCAGAGAGGGACATAAAAAACTTCTCTTTTGGTGAATAATTTGTTGTTACTGCTTTAAAATTAATTTCATTTACTTAAAACTATATATTTATTAAAGTATTTCTTAGGAAAAATTTTCTAGTATAGCAGAATATAAGAAATAAGGAGAAAAAGCTCCCCAAGACTCTAAGTATGGCTTGTTCTGTCAACTAATATTCATGGTAAAGTCCTATTTCAAGGAAATTTTCTCATAAAATGTATTTTGGAGACTCAATCCACTCAGAATATTTCATTATTTGTAATATTTCACTTAAATAGCAAGAAATTTTAACACATGAGAGTACTCACAAGGTCAAAGGTGCATGTACAGCTTCCCATATTAGGTGTAATACCACCATTGATTTTCCCCTATTAGTCTTTGTTAAATTTGCACTTTTCAAAAAATTGTGCAGAATTTATCTTTGTTTCAAATAAAGAAATACTTGGCATGAGTAATGTTTTATCCTGTCCAGTACTATAGAAAAAATTTCATATAACATTTCATTGCATATAAGAAAATAACCATCACTGGAAGTTAACCAATCAAATTTTCCCCCTTTTTTAACCTGTGTACAAGCTTTAGTAACCATGTAACCTCAAGTTTCCAAAATATTCTATAGAAACCCCAAATAAAGAAATAATGGTGCTTTGAAATACCCAAGATATATGTTTATGACTCAGAAATGTTTTACTGCAATGAAATGTAGGATCAATTACCTACAACTGTCAAATTCAAGGGAATATTTTTTTTCGACCTATTTTCGTATGCAACCGGATGTGACGTACTATGATTTGGTGGTATTACACCTAAACATAAAAATGCCACCAAAAAATGAACTGGTTCTGTCAGGAAAAAAAACCAGCGGATGCCTTTATTAATTGAGCACAAAAATACAAAACTCTAACCAATTATTAATAAATGTAAACAACTCTATTTAAAATCCCCTAACTCAGATGGAAAGCTTTATAGTCTAACAATAGGCTATAACATGACCTTGACAATTTCAAGGATAACTGTCATTTTTTTTTTTTAACAATTAATACAGTATTAATGTTGAAAGAATTGAATATTTTTCAGGAATTTTTACCCTTGATTATCATTAATATCAACATTAATATCAACTAAATGATAAAATCACTAGGTTATTTGAATCACATCTTAAAATTATTTTAAGAAGGCCATAATAAAGAATTACTCATATAAGACATTTAATAATTCAATCTTGATCAGCATCACAGGAGACAGTTTACTTTAGACACACCTCTTTTATTTTATTTATTACTACTCTCATTCTCTCAATTATCACACCACTCATACTTTGTACAAAGATCATTAAGCTAATCCAATAAACTACTGTGTATTCATTATAATTCATGGGATACCAATTTTCGTGGATTTCATGGGTCAAGGTGAACCACGAATATAAATGTTCAACGAACTACAAATTTTCTTTATTCTTGTATGCAGACTTTGACTTAACCACGAAATCAAATATACACAAAAATGTAAGTTTTCCTAAATCCACGAAAATCTGTACCCACAAAATGAATGAATCAACAGTAACTGTTATAATTCATCTTTAACAATCACTGAAATATTTTCAACATATTGTAGTGATAATATTTACACCATGAATACCAAAATATGACAGACACACAGAAAAGGTGGAAGAACTTTTACCCTTAACATTTCATTCTAACATTCAGGCATACTTGATTAAAAACTAAACAAAACAAAAGCTTTGAAGATAAAGACAATGGTAATAAAAACCACTGTGTGTCCCAAGGTGATGTTGAAAAGTAAGCACTTAGTACAGTTGATTCATTATTTTTCATAGGATATCAATTTTTGTGGATTTCAAGTATTTACGTGAACCACAAAATTAAATGTTTAACAAAGTTAAAATTTTCTATAAGCATTGTATGCAGACTTTGGCAAATCATGAAATCAAATATCCATAAAAATACAAATATTCCTTAATCCACAAAAATTGGTAACCACAAAAATAACTGAATCCACAGTATGTGGCTGATTGAAGTTTAGGAAAAAGGCATTCGTGCGTTGACATTATCTTTATTTTTGCTGACATCGTTTGTCTTTAAGAAGAAAACACCAAAATTACACGCAGAGAAAGAAAAAAAGTTTAAAAAATATTGGAGACAGTTTAAAACTATGTAAGTGGATAAATATTTACCACATAGGGAATATAATAGGTATGGCACAAAATTTTATCTCCTGTCTGATGTTAGCACAGAAATTTTAAAGTAAAAAATATTCAGATGGAATCTTGGGACACACAGTAAATAGTTGCCATAAAATACCACTAACTACTACCACAAAACAATCAGAAACATGATAATTAAATTGCACTATAGGAAAAAATTACAACTCTGTGACTCAATTTGCACTCAAATCTACCAATTAAAATTGATAATAAGTTATGCAGAAATGTTCACGACTTGATTTTTTGTGACATGAACCACAGACTGGTAAATTGCGTTGGTTCTGTATGTCCATGGATTAAAAGGATATAACAAGGTGAACAAAATGCAAAAACAATTTCATTTTATTGTTTTGTCACAATCTTCCCAAAACTAAAAAGTCTGCAATTCTACTTTAACTATACTTCTTATATTATCACCATGCACCCAATTGTAAAATATGAAGCAAGGTCACTTTAATAATATCTATCACAAACAAAGGTTGATTTTTGTGACATAACATAACATTCTAGAGACAGATATACACCTTATGAAATTTAAAATATTGAACTTATATGATTAATACATTAACTACTTCAATGCCATTGTGTTTCAGCATCAATTTCGACGAAATATGCTAATTTTGCCAGTACCAAGAAGTGTGGGCCACCAGTTGGTTAACTTTTACTAAGCAATTGTCCTACATTCAAATGCATATGATATATGTGTTAACTTTCTTTGATGTCTGGCACTACTCAGATAATCAATCTTGTTTGGATTGTTCTGTAAATCTCAGACCACATTATTTATTCTTTCCAACTGTGTATTTTTCAGTGAAAAGCTTCCTTGAATATCAATCTATATGTTCAGTCATCTTATAAAATGATTTACATTCATAAAGGCACGTTCATTTAAAAATTAACAGTATTATGATAAATGTAAATACAAATGTATCCAAATCACCTATGACCTATTAACTATACTGAAAAAAAAACATTATAATTATGATGGCATGAGTCAAAAGTTACAAACACTGTAATATATTACATTGTCAGAAGGTTATATCTATTCTGAAGAGATCAAATATAATTGAACAGAAGTATTTTGACTAGAAGTAAAATTATGGCCCAACTGAACTCCTGATAACTTTGGTTAATCCTGTTAGTAATACAATTTTATTGAGCTTCTTGTCCGCACCAACTATGATGTAAATGTAACATGATCAGATATGTAATATCACATGATCATATTTGTTAAATCACATGATCAGATTGTCTATGATGTCATATAATCACATGATTATCTATATCAGACTTGACTTGACTGTCTTTGGGTGTTGTCTTGATCTTGTTCTCTGTGTCGAGGTGTCCCCGCCCCTGAAAATACATTTCACAAAATAATTATCTCATTGTTTCTAATAAATAAAATGTTACATCTGTTTCAAACAGCTTCCTTACATAATTATTCCATTCTGGTGGTCATCTTGAATTTTAATTAGTTTTTCAAGGAGGTCTTTCATTTCTAGCTTAGCACCAACACCTTTAGAATTGTTCATTCAATATCATAAAATTTTAAATTGTTTTTTTTTTTAACTCAGCATTGTATGATAAGTATATTACATTTGCACTTGCATCAAATCTTTTGAAAACATTAGATATAAAGTATATTCCATGCAAAATAAAAAGAATTAATTTTCAGAATCACGAGATAGTACAAAAAAAGAAAATCTGTCTGATACAAGTATTTTAAATATACCATTCATAGTATAATCTAAGTAGAGTGTACTATTTGTCACTCATCTACCCTTGGTCTCTCATTTTCTAATTCAATAAGTTTCGAATGTCTGGACTTGTTTAACAGGTGATTCATGTGAAATCACACACCAGAGATTATTTGTCCAAAATATATGAACCAAGACAAGTTTGTTCAAATTAACCTTTAAAATGAATGGAGAAATGTACAACAACATGTGTTGATCTCTTATTCTATAAGAAATTTTCAATGAAGGTTTCAAACAGAGTGTAGTATGATAGTAGAAAAGCTGCATATAAACCCTGCATGATACAGAATTAAAAAATGACTTCTCCCTAAAAAATAATTCATGCATAAATTATAATTATATAAGGAGGAGGTATGATACAGGCAATTATATACTGAAATTACAAAATTACAAAATTCTTCAATCTTTTCCAAATAATGTAAATTGTATTGATTTATATATAGGATGCTATATTCTAGACACATTAGTGCAGAAATTTCAATGTCACTGTCAACAATATGTAAGAATTAACATATTAGTCATGAAATGGCCATTTTACACATAGTTTTCAGTAAAATTAGATATGCACCACTGCCTTACTAAAAATGAGGCTATTTTTGACAGTTTAGGCAGGTTTAACTTAAATGCAAGAAGTTTGAAGCCAGAAAGCAAATATACAATTACGCAAGACATAGTTCAAAATATAAATACTAAAATTCAAGGGGCCAACAAAATGACCTTATCATACCCTCTCCTTAGTTAAGAAAATTAAAGTCATAAAATATGTTACTACCATAACACTCTGTAAAACATTTAGCAATGATGATTTTAATTTCATTAAAACAATGATATCATATCAACTAAAAAGATTTAAATATTTTAGTTTACCACAATTGTTTCAAAGATCATAAACTGAGTTAACATTTACAAAATACCAGACTATCATGCAATTCCAGTTTCATATAAATATGTTTTATAAGACTTTTTTAGTTATTCCAGAGAAATAAACCTAAAATATAGTCATCGAAACTAGTGCAAAATATGTGAATTTTGACAGGGATGAAATTGGTCTCCAACAAAAAAAGTGGAAATGGCGTTCCCGGAAGTCAAAATACGGTAAAAAAGAAAATGAGGGAAAAATATGAACTCAAAAAGCGGAAATCTGCGGAAAACTTATATCACTGATTTTGATGTTCAAACCCAAAAAATAAACTAGAGGCTCTCAAGAGCCTGTGACGCTCACCTGTATTTACTGATGCTTTGGAAATCATGTAAAATAAGGTTAAAACCATAATTAATAGTATTAGATATTACATATTATAATGATATCTAAGATAATAACAAAAAGCTGCAAAATTTCTGTAAAATTACTAACTCAGGGGCAGCAACCCAACAACGGGATGTCGGATTCGTCTGAAAATTTCAGGGCAGATAAATCTAAATCTGATGAACATTTTTGCCACCTGTCAGATTTGCTCTAAATGCTTTAGTTTCAGAGATATAAACCAAAAACTGCATTTTACCCCTATGTTCTATTTTTAACCAAGTCGGCCATGATGCTTGGAAGGCGGGGTTATCGGACAAATTTTTTAAACTAGATACCCTGATAATGATTATGGCCAAGTATGGTTAAATTTGTCTCAGTAGTTTTAGAGAAGAAGATTTTTTTAAAAGATTACAAAAATTTACGAAAAATTGTTAAAAATTGACTATAAAGGGCAATAACTCCTAAAGGGGTCGACTGACAATTTTGGTCATGACAACTTATTTGTAGATCTTACTTTGCTGAACATTTTTGCTGTTTACAGTTATTCTCTATCTATAATAATATTCAAGATAATAACCAATAAAATGCTCCGCTGGGCACAGCTTGATACGCACGCAGAGGTCGAACCCTGAACAGTTGGGGCAAGTATGGACACAACATTCAAGCTTGATACAGCACTGAATTTGGATTGTGATTAAATAGTTGACACAGCATAGGTTTCTGACACAGAATGAATGTGGTCTAAGAACTCAAAAATTTTTAATTTACCTATTCAAACCATATCTTTATTATTTGCTTTTATATATAAATCAGAAATAACCAATTTAAAATGGAAAATTTTAAAGAAAAAAAAAGGAACAAAAATCCCCCCCCCCCAATTTTTTGAACCCCCTTATGATTCATCACCCCAAACTCAATCCCAGCCTTCCTTTTGTGGTATGGTACCTTGCAGTACAATTTCAGAGCGATCCATACACTTGAACACAAGTTATTGTCTGGAAATTAGAAAAATGCTTGTTTTTTGGCCCCTTTTTGGCCCCAAATTCCTAAACATTTAGGGCAATTACCCCCAAACTCAATTCCAGCTTTCCCTTTGTGATATGGTACCTTGTAGTACAATTTCATAAAGATCCATACACTTCCACATAAGTTATTGTCCTGAAACTAGAAAAATGCTTGTTTTTTGCCTTTTTTTGGCCCCTAATTCCTAAAATTTTGAGGCAATTACCCCCAAAATCAATCCCAGTCTTCCCTTTGTGATATGGAACCTTGTAGTACAATTTCAGAAAGATCCATACACTAACACACAAGTAATTGTCATGAAACTAGAAAAATGCTTGTTTTTTGCCCCTTTTTTGGCCCCTAATTCCTAAAACTTTGAGGCAATTACCCCGAAAATCAATCCAAGCATTTCCTTTGTGATATGCAACCTTGCATTTCAATTTCAGAGAGATCCATACACTTGAACACAAGTTATTGTCTGGAAACTAGAAAAATGCTTATTTTTTGGCCCCTTTTTGGCCCCTTATTCCTTAAAGTTTTGGGCAATTACCCCTAAACTCAATTCCAGCTTTCCCTTTGTGAAATGGAACCTTGTAGTTCAATTTCAGAAAGATCCATAGACTTACACACAAGTTATTGTCATGAAACTAGAAAAATGCTTGTTTTTTGCCTTTTTTTGGCCCCTAATTCCTAAAATTTTGAGGCAATTACCCCCAAAATCAATCCCAGTCTTCCCTTTGTGATATGGAACCTTGTAGTACAATTTCAGAAAGATCCATACACTAACACACAAGTAATTGTCATGAAACTAGAAAAATGCTTGTTTTTTGCCCCTTTTTTGGCCCCTAATTCCTAAAATTTTGAGGCAATTACCCCGAAAATCAATCCAAGCATTTCCTTTGTGATATGCAACCTTGCATTTCAATTTCAGAGAGATCCATACACTTGAACACAAGTTATTGTCTGGAAACTAGAAAAATGCTTATTTTTTGGCCCCTTTTTGGCCCCTTATTCCTTAAAGTTTTGGGCAATTACCCCTAAACTCAATTCCAGCTTTCCCTTTGTGAAATGGAACCTTGTAGTTCAATTTCAGAAAGATCCATAGACTTACACACAAGTTATTGTCATGAAACTAGAAAAATGCTTGTTTTTTGCCCCTTTTTTTGTCCCTAATTCATAAAATTTTTAGGCAAATACCCCTAAAATTAATCCAAGCATTTCCTTTGTGATATGGAACCTTGTGGTACAATGTCAGAGAGATCCATACACTAACACACAAGTTATGTCTGGAAGTTACAAAAATGCTTATCTTTGGCCCCTTTTTGGCCCCTAATTCCTTAACTGTTGGTACCATAACCCCCAAAATCAATCCCTGCCTTCCTTTTGTGGTATTGAACCTTAAATTTCATAGAGATCCATTCATTTAAACTAAAGTTAGAGTGTGAAAACCAATGTGTCTTCGGACGACACCAACGTCATACCAATATACGACCGCAAAATTTCCTTAACATTACCAATTCAGGGGCAGCAACCCAACAACAGGTTGTCAGATTTGTCTGTAAATTTCAGGGCAGATAGATCTTGACCTGATAATCAGTTTTACCCTATGTCAGATTTACTCTAAATGCTTTGGTTTCAGAGATATAAGCCAAAATCTACATTTTACCCCTATGTTCTATTTTAAGCCATGGCGGCCATCTTGGTTGGTTGGCGGGGTCAACTGACACATTTTTTTAAACTAGATACCCTAATGATGATTGTGGCCAAGTTTGGTTAAATTTGTCCTAGTGGTTTCAGAGGAGAAGATTTTTGTAAAAAGCTAACGACAACGGACGAGGACAACGATGACGAACGACGATCGCCAAGTGATGAGAAAAGCTCACCTGGCCCGAAAAAAAAAAATAAAGTGTAACAAGTTTATGGTAGTAACTTTTAACAAAAGACCTCTGCCACTCCTACTACCTGATGGATCTATTCTAGGGGGTGAGGAAGAACGAGGTGGTGGTGGCCCTCGTAAATGAGGAGGAAGCATATCATGAGGCGGAGGCATTCTATAACCAGGTGGCCCTCTTAATCTGTCGTAAGGTGGTGGTGACCTTCTGTCCATTGGAGGAGGTGGTCCTCTGCCAAATGGTGGCGGTGATCGAAGATCTGGAGGTGGCATTCTTGGTCCTCCATGCCTATCCAGAGGAGGAGATCGCAATTCTGGTGGTGGCATCCGTGGACCTCCACGTCGGTCGGGGGGAGGTAATCTAACTGGAGATCCTCTCATGTCTTCATCCCTGCAATAAATAACCTTAATTATAACTTAAATGTGACATACATCTGTCATATTTGGGGAAGCTATCTATTATCCTATATATCTTTAAATCCTTACTACTATTTACATCTTTTTTTTTAATTGATTTGTTCAATGTAAAAAAATAACATTGACTTACCTCATTCCTGGAGGTAGATGGAATGGTCCACTCCTTGATCCTGCCCTGATGGAGGACTTACCTCATTCCTGGAGTCGGAGGGAATGTCCCGCTTCTTGATCCTGGTCTGATGGAGGACTTACCTCAGTCCTGGAGGTGGAGGGAATGTCCCACTCCTTGATCCTGGTCTGATGTGGACTTACCTCATTCCTGGAGGTGGAGGGAATGGCCCACTACTTGATCCTGGTCAAATGGAAGGCTGTCTTGCGGTCATAAAAATTTGGAGCATGATTATTGTACTCAACCTCAGAATTCAGCCTACCAAAGTGCTGGATTTGATGTATCGAGGACAAATTGTGTTCTCAAAGTACTGAGAGAAGTTTAATGACCATAAGCGCTGGAGGTGGAGGGAATGGACAACTCCTTGATCCTGGTCTGATGGGGGACTTACCTCATTCCTATAGGTGGAAGGAATGGCCAGCTTCTTGATCCTGGTCGGATGGAGGACTTACCTCATTCCTGGAGGTGGAGGGAATGGCCCACTCCGTGATCCTGGTCTGTCTGATGGATGTAATGGTCCATTGATCATCCCTGTCAAAAGATGTATTGAAAATGATTTAACATTTAGAACAGATCTTATTTACCACTTTCAGATGAAAATAGATAAAAATAATGTGTTAGATTTAACTTTTTCTAAAACTCAGGCATTTATTAGATAATTGCCACACTGAAAAATGGGATGTGGTTTAGATTTTCACAAGATAACACAACAAAATAATGACTGTTGGGTTGTTGTTTCTAATGCTTTTTGTAACAGTAATTTTTAAATATTTATCTGTTATTTTCCACTTAAAATAGTTTTATCAATGGGTAGTTTGTTCACACAACTTCACACACATATGCAAAATACTGACAATATTTCATATTGAAGTACATAATATAACTATGCCATGTTTTAATGTATACTTGATATTATTCAATAATTCTTTAATTATGATAAATTATTGTTAGAAAGCTTTATTTTACATATCTAAGGGATTTAATTAAATCATCATGTGTCTTTATATTTTGTTTTGGTATTTTGGTAAAGATAAAATTTCATATCGAACAAATCTCATAAAAAGTATTGGAATTTATAAGTATTGTTCTAGTTTGTCCAGTACAATGTAAGGCTACCATATGGTCAGACTTGACCCAAATCATATAGACAGACCTATATAATCAGACCTGACTCATATGAACAGACCTATATAACCTGACTTTTGTGTTCTATAACTATTCATAATTTACCTGGAGGAGGCATGCCTCGTGTTGGTAGCGGTCGTATCAAACCACTGGGGCCCTGCATTAGTCTTCTCTCTAAATCTGTTAATCTATTCAATGATGAAAAATTAAGACTTATTAACAGAAGACAAAACTTTGATCAGAAATGCTAAAATAAAAAGTTGAATTTAAATATCATCTATTAAACTTTCTTCACAAAACTTAATTCCTTCTGAAAACAAAACAAAATTTGAACAAATAAATACAACACACTGATAACTTACTTGATTATCTAACTGATCTGTAAAAATACACCAAATTGTGGAAGTACGATCACTTGGGAAAACTATTTTTGGATTATTCAATCATATAAAATATTAGCTGTTGAGTAAATGTTGAAGAATAAAAAGGGAGCATAATGATGTTCAAGTATCTCTTCAGTCATTTATAAAGCAGATACTGGTATATATGGAAGTGAAAATAAATAGAGTTGTATAACTCCAAAAGGAGTCAGAGTCAATATGTAAACATCTCCTAGAGAGAGTGTCAAGGTCAGGAACACGACAAAGGCCAGAAATAATGTCAGATAGACATAGTGGACAACAACCCAACAACACAAGTTAACACAAATGACCAAATTGTCTTGGTTTCATTTTTAAGGGGTTTTTTTTCCTGTCAAATTTATTTCCCAGTTGTCTAGACTATGCCATATAGAGATTGTCCACTCTTATGTTAACCTATGTCTTTCTAGGTTTAAATAAGTTGATGGGTTTCTGTCTAAATGATGCTTACCACACAATTCCTTTATTCCGACCTAAACATTATCATACTGTGGATTCATATATTTTCGTGTGTATCAATTTTCGTTGATTTAGGGAAAAATCGTATTTTTGTGGATGCCTGATTTTGTGTTTTTTTCAAAAGTCACAAGCCTTTAGAAAATTTGTACTTTGTTGAACATTTAAATTTGGTTAATCTATAAAAATTGGTATCCCACGAATAATAATAAATTTCCCCAGGAAGTGAGAATCCCAATTAATGTAATGCTGACATTTTAATCTGTTTCAACATTAAATACTGATATAACTTACTTTTGTCTTAATACTGAACATTCATGTCGTGATTCTTTTAGTTCTCTCTCGGCTGCCCTCGCTGATAACTAATAAAACAATCAAAATAACAAATATTAATTTCATTAATAATTATCCTATTGCAATTAAAATGATAGAATGACAAATTCTATAATCCTTATTCAAATTAATCAAGTCAATATTATTAGTTGAATGGAGTGTTGTCAGATCCTTGTAAGAAGTCAAAATTCCAGACTTTTGAAATATTTGTTCTATTTTTAACTGTATTGAGAGATGCAACCAGAGGAAGTTATTACAGAGGCATATATTTATTGAAATAAAACTCCTTCAAATTTAAGTAATTTTTGGAAGTTGGAAATTTGCCTTTTTTCTATTTTTTTTTTTTTTTTTCCTTTTCGAACTTTAATTTTGATTTATACTTCATCTTAAATCTTCAAAACTTCCAAATGAATTTTATCAGGTTAAAAGAACATGCTTAAATGCTGTTATCACTACTAAACAGCTAACCTCTGAAACAATTGTAGCAAAGAAAACTATGATTTTGGGACAGAGTCTGTAATATGACAAACACCACACTTAGGGTTGTCTTTGTTTTAGTGATATAAGTTGGATCACCAAAAAGGTGCTAAAATGTGTTTTTTGGATCAAGAGGGAGGAGTGTAATTATAACCTACCCAGTTATCATGGGCTTTCTTTTCATTGGCTGCTATCTGTAAAATACAAATATATCATGAATTACAATATACCAAATCAATTTAATGTTTTACATGAAGATAATCTACTCTAGTGTACTTTTCTCTGAAAAAGAAATCAGAAGGTATCACTACATGTAACAGTCTTGTGTAGAGGGGTGTTCAATTTTCCATAATTCAATTTTTCAAATTGAACATCATTAAAATAGTTTAAATATTCCATTCCCAAAACAATTAAAGTTATCATGTGTCCATGAAAAAGAAATGTCACAAAAATAATGAGTACAAATCTCATTTCTATTTAATAAAAGGACTAAGTATTTTATATCTTTATTAGATCTAAACAAGTCTAAACTAAAGGTTGGCAGCTTAAATGATGCAGAAAAGATCAGTATTTGTTTGGTACAATGACCTTTACATCAAATGGTTACGCACATACATGTATATAATTATATTTTCAGATTATTCCTTCATAAATATTAGAGGCTTACATTGACAGAAAGTAACTGACTATAATGTACAGATGTACAGGTAGTATTGTACAGATATACTGTGAAATGTGTTATTATTGTACAGTGGAGCGACTACAATTAAAATTCTTTGACTAAAATGTGTGAAAGTAAATAAGTAGCAAAACTCAAAAATAAAGAAACAAGAAAATCTAAATGTTGTGAAATATAGAGAAAAATATATATAGATACCTGAAATATGGAAAATATTGGAAAACTTTTATCTATACAGTGTGTTAAACATTACCTGAGATCTGAAATCTCTTTCTGCAGATAAAATTTCTTTTTTCAGGTCGTCTGTTTGTGATCTGTTAATAAATGTTTTGTGTAAGTAGAAAAATGCAAAAACATCATCATACATTAAATAAATATAATATCAAACTTGTAAAAAGTAAATAACAAAAATACCGAACTCCAAGGGAAATTCAAAAAGGAAAGTCCTTTACAAAATGGCAAAACCAAAAGCTTAATCACACCTAACGAATGGAAAACAACTGTCATATTCCTGACTTGGAACTTTTGACTTGTTATTTTGCTTTTGGCAGTATTTTTTTTACTTCAGTATCTTGCTTGTGTTGATTCACTTCTATAACTAGTCAAATAAAATGCTCCGCTGGGCGCAGCTTGATACGACCGCAGAGGTCGAACCCTGAACAGTTGGGGCAAGTATGGACACAACATTCAAGTTTGATACAGCTCTGAATTTGGATTGTGATGAAATATTTGACACAGTATAGGTTTCTGACACAGAATGAATGTGGTCTAAGAACTTAAAATTTTTTTATTTACCTATTATAGTCCAATATCCAAAATCTAAATACATGGTTAGATTCAGCATATCAAAGAATCCAAAGAATTCAATTTTTGATGAAATCAAACAAAGTTTAATTTTGGACCCTTTTGACCTCAATGTGGACCAATTTGATAACGGGGCCCAAAAATCAAAATACATGGTTAGATTCAGCATATCAAAGAACCCAATATATTCAATTTTTGTTGAAATCAAACAAAGTTTAATTTTGGACCCCAACTTGGATCAACTTGAAAACTGGGCCCATAATCAAAAATCTAAACACATGTATAGATTCAGCATATCAAAGAACCCCAAGAATTCAATTTTTGTTAAAATCAAACTAAGTTTAATTTTGGATCCTTTGGACCTTAATGTAGACCAATTTAAAAAACGGGACCCAAAATTAAAAATCTAAATACATGGTTAGATTTGGCATATCAAAGAACCCCAATAATTCAATTTTTGATGAAATAAAACAAAGTTTAATTTTGGACCCTTTTGACCTCAATATGAACCAATTTGATAGCGGGGCCCACAAATAAAAAATCTAAATACATGGTTAGTTTCAGCATATCAAAGAACCCCATATATTCAATTTTTGTTGAAATCAAACAAAATTTAATTTTGGACCCAAATTTGGACCAACTTGAAAACTGGGCCCAAAATCAAAAATCTAAATACATGTTTAGATTAAGCATATCTAAGAACCCCATTTATTCATTTTTTTGTTAAAATCAAACTAAGTTTTATTTTGGACCCTTTGGACCTTAATGTAGACCAATTTGAAAACTGGACCCAAAATTGAAAATCTAAATACATGGTTAGATTTGGCATATCAAAGAACCCCAATAATTCAATTTTTGATGAAATAAAACAAAGTTTAATTTTGGACCCTTTTGACCTCAATATGAACCAATTTGATAGCGGGGCCCACAAATAAAAAATCTAAATACATGGTTAGATTCAGCATATCAAAGAACCCCATATATTCAATTTTTGTTGAAATCAAACAAAATTTAATTTTGGACCCAAATTTGGACCAACTTGAAAACTGGGCCCAAAATCAAAAATCTAAATACATGTTTAGATTAAGCATATCAAAGAACCCCATTTATTCATTTTTTGTTAAAATCAAACTAAGTTTTATTTTGGACCCTTTGGACCTTAATGTAGACCAATTTGAAAACTGGACCCAAAATTGAAAATCTAAATACATGGTTAGATTTGGCATATCAAAGAACCCCAATAATTCAATTTTTGATGAAATAAAACAAAGTTTAATTTTGGACCCTTTTGACCTCAATATGAACCAATTTGATAGCGGGGCCCACAAATAAAAAATCTAAATACATGGTTAGATTCAGCATATCAAAGAACCCCATATATTCAATTTTTGTTGAAATCAAACAAAGTTTAATTTTGGACCCCAATTTGGACCAACTTGAAAACTGGGCCCAAAATCAAAAATCTAAATACATGTTTAGATTAAGCATATCAAAGAAACCCATATATTCAATTTTTGTTAAAATCAAACTAAGTTTAATTTTGGACCCTTTGGACCTTAATGTAGACCAATTTGAAAACTGGACCCAAAATTAAAAATCTAAATACACGGTCAGATTTGGCATAACAAATAAATAAATGTGGTCAAAGATTTTACAAATCTAATGCGTCATACTGTGCAATTAAAGATTACTTCTTGAAATTTTTCAATATTTGAAATTTGAAAAAAAAATAATATTGGAAGAATAATTCTTTTTAATTTCTGAAATCTGAAATGAGAAAAAATTGACCCCCCACAATTTCTTTTTACCCCCCCCCCCCCCCCCCCCCCCCTTTTCCCCAAAAAAATTCTTTCCCTCAAGATATGGTCATAATCTCAATTCAAATTTCCAATGGAATTTGCAACCATAATTACCCATTTAAATTTACCATAGTGCTAACTTAATCTATTTTATAATAGAATTTAAAATATGGTGTCAAATCTTTCATATGGATTTTTTTGTAAAAAAAAAAAGATGCAACATTTGCAGATATTTTTACTGGTCTTCCTTTATAAATATGCATTTCTTTAAACATAATTTAAAAGCAGTGTAAGGGAAGTAATCAAAACGTTGTATGTGGATTACCTCCCTTACACTGTTTTAAATTGTCTTAATTGTTCATTAACCATTACTTTATACATACTTTAAAAGCAGTGTAAGGGAGGTAATTCAAATGATGTATTTGATTTATCTCCCTTACACTGCTTTAAATTATGTTTTGTACTAAAGTATTTGTTCATATAAAAATGCTTATTTCTTGCCCCTTTTTTGGCCCCTAATGCCTTAAATTTTGAGGCAATTACTCCCAAAATCAATCCCAGCATTCCCTTTGTGATATGGAACCTTGTGGTACAATGTCAGAGAGATCCATACACTAACACACAAGTTATGTCTGGAAGTTACAAAAATGCTTATTTTTGGCCCCTTTTGGCCCCTAATTCCTTAACTGTTGGTACCATAACCCCCAAAATCTATCCCAACCTTCCTTTTGTGGTATTGAACCTTATGGTAAAATTTCATAGAGATCCATTCACTTAAACTAAAGTTAGAGTGCGAAAACCAATGTGTCTTCGGACTACGACGACGACGAGGCCAACGTCATACCAATATACGATCGCAAAATTTTTTTGCAGTCGTATAAAAAGTTCTACTACTTCTAAAATCTATCAATTGTATTTTTCAAGTCTAACATCTTCATTGTGTTGGTTACTCAATATTTTGTTTTTGTTTTTTTGTTTTTGTTTACTAAAGCCCATACAGCTCAAACCATATCATAACTTTTGAGTTAATTCTTAGTTCTACTGTTAAAACAGATGAATTTTCATTTCAAATCCTCCTAGGATAAAATTGTGTTACTATGGTGACTTACTTGTAACTTTCTAATTCTTCTTTTACCATTTTGGCAGTTTCATCTGCATTTTCTAATCTATTTTTGTTTTGTTTCTTTAAAGCTTCTTGTTCACCTAGTTCTCTGAAAATTTTATATTAAATTCATCACTAGATTTATACAGCTAAAATCATACATTTGGAGAGAAAAACAAAATCAAAGTGCGTGTAATTACTGAAGGTTAAAGATTGCTTTAATTTATCTGTGGGAAGTAACATTAAACATTGCATTGTATAAAGCTTTGGTTGAATTTGATTCAACTAAAACTATGAACAAAGGAAGATAACTCCATTTTTAAAGATTACTTTAAAATGACATAATTGATATTTTTAGAACAGATTTTAGATTACTGCATGTAATTTTCTAGACAAGTATAACATCATTTTGTAACTTGAATATCTGATTATATATTTCATTGATAAATTTCTGGAAATGTTCATGGATGGGATGTATAGAATGATATGATCAATGCACTATATTTTGTGTATCTCAAAAGTAGTGATAAACCTTGGAAGATTTAGATATCAAGTCAGTACCATAGGGTTTTTATTGCATTTCATGCAATCTTTACCCAAAAATTGTTTCCAAACTGTCTGTTCAAAATTCAGATTAAGTTTGTAGTTCTTCAAATGCACATATTCATACTATAAGTATATGGTGTTCAATCATGTAGATAAGATATCTCATGAATATACAATGAACAGGACCTATATATTATATGAGCTGCGTCGGATAGAAATCGACCTTATGCAAATACATATCAATACATCTTCTTTTAACCTATTTCGGGTTAAAAAAAACTCTATGCAAAGTCTGTAGCTGTTTGAAATTTGAGTTGTTATAAGAACCCTACAAAACGGACCAACATTTGTCTTTTATTTTGTATTTGAATGTTCCAAAATCATTCAAAGTCTTATACATATACATGTATACGTGCGCTTGCATAAGGTCTATTTCTTTCCGACACAGCTCATCTGATTTGAGTAGCTAGGAAATTAATTTTTCAAATAGTGGTTGATGTTACTAAGACATTGTGTAAAATACTGTCCTTAAACTTCTATGAGTTCATAACAAGAATGGCACTTTTTTATTTAAAAATATACTGGACATCCTGTATGTAATTCTGTTAGAGGTCAACCAGAACAAAATTCAAACTCAATTTATAAGTCAAAATTTTATACTAATGTAATAACAAAAATCTGATCAGTTTCTGTAAGCATCATAAGTATGCAAGTGCAGACAACTGTTACAGAATGACAGAATGATTGACATGTGTAAAGGAATATGAGGGTCTGGACGGGGTTTACAGAATAGAGACTAATGGGCCAATACAACAGAAAATAGGCCAAAAAAAAAGAATAAAGTATAATGGGGTGCTAAAATATAAAGAATGGAGAATAATGGGCAAAATTTATAAAGAATAGAGAAAAATGGCTTAAAAAATTAAAAGAATACAGAATCAAAGGACCCCCATCCAGGCCACTTAATGTTGGGGGCATCAAATTGTCTATCATAGGAAAAGGAACTTGAACAAATAAAATTACCTTTGTAATTGAGCTTCTTTTTCTTTGAAATAATTAGTAAGAACATTTAATTTGGTTGTAGCTTCATTACTTTGTCTCTCTGCTTTCATTTTATCTGTTTTTAAACCCTCCATTTTTCTTTCTAATTCTGCTATTTGTTCTACAATTAGTAAACATAAAAATTAAATCATCAATGGATATCTAAGGATATGGAGAAACATAAAAAAATAGAGGTGGGTGTATTTAAATGAGAGAGTACTGAAAAAAGCAAGATATAAAAATAAAAGCCAACATAAGTTTTCAGCAATATACAAGTGTCTATATTAAACATATGCCTTTGGTTTCAACTAATAATGTTTTGACTTCATTCTTATATGTTCTATCTCATTTGGATTTTCCTTTAACAATTCATTTGACCTTTAACCCTACATTCCTTCTTTTTTAAATTTAACTTAGAAAAGAGTAAATGTATATGCATATTTTTTGAAAAATGATGAAAAGACAATTTAAGGGAATAATTCTTTTATAAATTATAGAAATTAATAGCTTTTTAATTGTTAATGACATCCATTTATTTTGGTCACATTTGTGACAAAGTTATCTGCCCCTTGCCAAGTCACAGATTCTTTTAATTCATGAATAAATCTAGAACTGTTCATGAATTTATCTTTAAGAATAAGACAAATTCTTTACCAGATAGAAATAAATTTTGTGGTTTTTCTCAATGGTTGAAAATTAAAAAACATATACATGAATTAACTTAAAATTCTTCTCATTTTTAATATATTTTTTTCGTACAGTTTAGCATTTTTTCTTTCTAATACATTTCTTATGAAGCTCAAAACCAAGCAATCAGATCTATTTTTAATTTTCCATAATTTTGATTATAGTGGGGCAAACGCTGTGTGTTATCAGGGTGGCATCATACCTTCCATATCTATTCTACTCTGAACTTCTATATCAATTCTATTCTGTACTATATTTCTTTCATCTTCTACTGTTTTTAACCTAGCATTAACCTGAAATCATAATAAACAAAATATTATTACCATCATAAAATGAGACATCTAGAATATAGATAAATTCAGAAATAATTGCCTGGTTTTTATTATTGCACATATGCGACTGGGAGAGTATTGCAATGATAAGAACACACATTCTTATATCTGTATGCAGATTTTTATGAACTAGCAATAACCACTCTTGCATTTTTGTCCATTCTTCGCAATAATAAATACATGCAATAATTTCTTAATTTACAGTGTACACATTATATTATTTATTTTTACCACGTGAATGTCTTTGCCAACTCCATGTTTACAAAGTTATTTTGAACAGGCATGTCCTTATAAAATCGTGAAAATAAATGTACTAACACTGAAAGGGAGCAAGACCTATAAGTAAAACTATTAGAAAATGTGAGAAAATAACTATCATAGCTAGGCATATACTGCATGTTAGATAAATACATTATATTATAAATTCTGTTCATAACAGGGCTTCCAAAATTATTTTTAGCCAGCCGGACATTTTATATATTATCCCGATTTTAATCCCTTAAGACTAAATAAACAAAAGGCAATTATGGTAATCAGTTGCCGAGTTGGCCATCCCAATGATTGACATAAAAAAAAACGATATTAAACTTTCTTTGATTCAAATTCGAAGTTCTGACGTAAACTGTTAAATTGGCAGTGCATCATTCGAAGTGTGCAACATCAGCGTACTTATATCTGCCTTAGACTCTTTATTTGTGCAAAATAACGTTGTCAAAAACTTTACTTTCGTTTTTATACCGGATGTTATCTTGACAATGGTAAAACATGGACCAGAGACGGATACATAAATTCCGTGTACGTTTGCAAAGCGTGAATGAGTGGAAGTAGCTCTTTCTACGTTATTTCTTCAAGAAAATATTCGAAATAAACGTGAGATAAAGGTATTAATGACAATTTAAGCATTTTTTGAAGAAATTAGGATGCATAATTAAATTTCACACCTGCGCACACGTGTACTAGTTCAAACAGAGACATGTCTCTAGGTTCAAAGAACGTGGTTATGACGATTTTTCATTTTCACCTTTTTAATTTTTTCATCAAATCATATTTGTAAACGTATTTCTGATAATTTAAACCTTTTTGACTAAATTAATTAGATGCAAACCGCTGAAATGTAAGAAAATAACTTTGAATAGACCGATCAATGTCCAGTTCAAAATAGTTACCTGTCACCTGAACAGGTAAATTTCAGCTGTTTGACAACTAATTAGCCTTGATTAAAATGAGAAGGTATTAAAGTAGGGGTTGTTTTGATAGTACTTAATGATCATGTCACTTTTATGACCGGAAATGTGTGGCTGTTAAAGGCAAAACGTTGGGTCAAAAAGATCGCGAATTATGTTAAAATGACCGTCTCTTAAAGCCTTGAAAACTAAAAAGTAGATGACCGTTTCATGCTTTGCCCAGCCGGACTTTTACCGGACATTATACAAATGTCTGGCATATATGACCGTTTTGGAAGCCTTGGTTCATAAGTTGATATTTATCATTTGACTATATTTCTTAATTTGTTGAATAAGTGCTACTATTCATTATTCATTATTATTTGTAAGATACCAATTTTTGTGTGGTTTAATGAAAACCAATTAAAATGTTCAATAAAGAATATATTTCTATAGGCATGTATGCAAACTTTGGTAAAATCATGAAATCAAATATCCACAAAAATACTTTTTCTTCAATCCACGAAAAATGGTACACATGAAAAATAAATGAATCCATAGGACACTATGGTTGCAAAACCCAAAAGGCAAAGTTGACGTAAGAACTTTTAACGGTTCTATTTTTAAAAGTCCTTCAGGTTTTTGGCACTCAATCTTTCAATTTTTTGTTTTTTCTTCAGCATACATGACAAAGGTTGTTCCAGAAACATGTGCTGAGCACAGGTTAATTACATCATGTGCTTTTTTAATGCTTTTGAATTTAATCAAAGAAAGTCACATGATACTCATGATATGGATTGAATTTAAAAACATACTTTATTGAGGTCGTCTGTTTGTGATCTGTTAATAAATGTTTTGTGTAATCATAATTCATTAACACTTACACCTGATACATCCATCATAGACTTTAATTTATCTTGTATACTTGTACTATCTGTTTCATCTTGGTCTTCAGAATCTTCACTCTCAAAAGCTTTCATTTGCAAGAAACAATCTCGTAAAACCTTAAAAACATAATCAGAATCTTCATTGTTAAATAGCTTCAGTTATAAGAAACATTTTTTTAAAACCTCAAATACAAACAGAATTTTCAATATTGTTGTTTTCTCTTTTTATACATGAACAACATCTTTTATTTCAAATCACCTGGAATACATAAACCCTAGAAATCCAGGGCAGCTGACAGAAGGGGTCTCTGGTTTTTTTACATATCGCATTCGCCAGGAAAATTACAAATTAGTGGAAAAAATACTCCCTGCATTTTATATATTACATAAAAACTTACTCTTATTTCAAATTAATATTCTACACACCTTGACCCTTGTGTTTTCTTATAATTTTACCCTTTTACATAAACATACATCAAGGTTTTTTTCTCTCTTTTCTTTTTAATTATTTCCTCTGTTTAAAGTTCAAATCTTATCTAATGTGAGCAAAAAAGACAATGTGCAGATTCTTTTGTTATTTATATGATGTTCCCTGTTAAATTAGATCGATACGACACATGCTCCAAACATACAATTTTCTTAGAAGGACTTAAAAGACTTTAATTCCTAGAACCAATGACACAAATCCTATTTAATAAGACAGACAAATCTTTAATTATTATTCATACTTTTGCTCAGATTTTCCAGCAAATCTTTAATTACTATTCTTAATTTTTCCTCAGATTTTCCAGCAAATCTTGAATAACTATTCTTACTTTTGCTCAGATTTTCCAGCAAATCTTTCATTATTATTCTTATGTTTGCTCAGATTTTCTAGCAGTTTTCAGACTTGGTCTTTCCCTTAAAAAGATCTTGTACATCCATTTAGATAGTTTGGTATTTTAAACTTAACTATCCAAACAGATATTGATATTATACCTCTAATTCATTTTCTTTGAAAGCCAAATCTTCCTGAACTTGGGTTTGACCTTTCTGTAATGTCTCATATCTCTCTGTTAAATCTTGAACTCTGAAAAACAACCTTATTTACAATTTCTGTGCTTGGTAAAATTCTACTTACAATGTTATGTTTATTCTAATCTGTTTTAGATAAAAGTTTTGTGGAAACAAAATTCATAGTGCTGGTGAACATCAAATCATACATCATAAAAATGTATTATTGGCCATCAAATGTTGTTTTGATCTTATTATGTGGTTGGGTTACTGTCTCACTGACATTTATCAACAAATCTACTTTTATTCATATTCAAAATTTTTCATATATTTTTCGGCATATTAACCATGTGCAAACAGTTAAATTTGTATGTTATAGGAAACTAAAACACATTTAAAAAAATACTGAAAACTTCTAATTTTTGCCTCGATTTTTCATCACTAAAATGTATTTTAAAAAAAAATTGTTATAAAAATCTTATTGTCAAAACCCCTACATTGATCCCATGGTGTTCTATGATCTGTTTCTTACCTATAATCTTTACTATTATTCAAAGCAAATATAGATGAGATGGATAACTTGTGATAAATTGGTTTTTGTTATGCAGTATGCAGCTCCATTTATTAAAAAGTCCTGGCCACTGAGGAGAGTGGATTCAACAACTGCATGATATGTACATATATGAATTCATGTCTTTTTTTTATTATTTTTGTGATGTATTATGTAATGTGTTATTTTGTTTTCATGTTTTCATTGGGGTATAATAGTGCATTATTTTCAATTAAACTATTATTCAAAGCAAATTAAATCTCCATTCCCTTGACAACCAAACAGTTTTACAATAGCAACTTACTTTTCATTCCAATCTTCTGCTTCTTGTAATAACTGGAAAAAAGAAAAATTTAACCTTTAAAATCTACATAACTCAATGCAATTACCTTTTCATTTGGAGTAGTGGCTTTAACAAAAATAGAACAGAAGCAAAAAAATGTCTACCTGTCCATCCCACTGAGGGTAACTTTACTGAAAACCTAGGGCCACTCAAAATTCACCATAATGTGTTTTTCAAACCAAAATTTGGAACCAGCATGCTCTTAAATGTAGAGGATATATTTAAGGTGCTTCCATACCTGTTGTTTACTAACTTCTAACCGTTCTATCTGTTTAGTCAATTTAAGATGAAACAATTCCATACCTGTTGTTTACTAACTTCTAACCGTTCTATCTGTTTAGTCAATTTAAGGTGAAACAATTCCATACCTGTTGTTTACTAACTTCTAACTGTTCTATCTCTTTAGTCAATTTAAGATGAAACAATTCCATACCTGTTGTGTACTAACTTCTAACCGTTCTATCTGTTTAGTCAATTTAAGATGAAACAATTCCATACCTGTTGTGAACTAACTTCTAACCGTTCTATCTCTTTAGTCAATTTAAGGTGAAACAATTCCATACCTGCTGTTTACTAACTTCTAACCGTTCTATCTCTTTAGTCAATTTAAGGTGAAACAATTCCATACCTGTTGTTTACTAACTTCTAACCGTTCTATCTGTTTAGTCAATTTAAGATGAAACAATTCCATACCTGTTGTGTACTAACTTCTAACCGTTCTATCTCTTTAGTCAATTTAAGGTGAAACAATTCCACACCTGATTTTTACTAACTTCTAACCGTTCTATCTGTTTAGTCAATTTAAGATGAAACCATTCCATACCTGTTGTTTACTAACTTCTAACCATTCTATCTGTTTAGTCAATTTAAGGTGAAACAATTCCATACCTGTTGTTTACTAACTTCTAACCGTTCTATCTGTTTAGTCAGAGAACTGTTCTGATTCTTCTCAGACTTCAGGTCAGTCCTTACACTATCTAATTCTTTATTAGCCTGAGGAAATAGTTACATGTATGAATGTCATTGTGCAACAAAGATCAGTATTTATTCAGTAAACATGTACACCAATACAATGCCTGGATGGGAAAACAGGTGACTAGTCTTAAGTCTTGTAGCTGTTCCCTTGTGACAATTGAATTGGATTGTCTTAGCAAATAAAATAAAAAAATACAAATTGATTATACATGTATTGGAATTACATATAAACTCCTCATGGTCAAAATAATAATAAGACAATTATATTGCCTGTATAAACATTTCAAATAAAGCATCAGAAAAAAAAATGCCTTGAATTGATACTTTTTCCTTTAGTTTCTGTATAAAATGATAGAAAGGATCAGGTGTGAATGTAAATGTGATAAAGATTTCTTTGAATACTATCAAATAATTTAAAATCCACTTAATTTTTATTTCCAGTAAGTGATTAAGATATTGACTATTTTCTTAAAATGAACACATAAAGATTTTTTAAGATTTCTTCTAGTTTTCAATCTTATACAAAGATGTACAATGCAGGAACCTTATAAATGGTTTTCTTTTACCATATCCTAATGTATCTATTAATTGGAGAATTTGGCATCAATAGCAAATCTTTCAGACAGTGTGTCTAATTATTCTCAATTTTTAGTAACCCTGGTAAATTTTTAGCTTGACATACCGTATAGAGTCATTTTTTTTTTTTAATATGGTATGTTGACTTTTTAAAGCCTTTTGACTGTTTATGTTGTAAGGTTGCTGTCACGCATCTGATATACAATCAGAATACATAAGAGAATTACTTTATCCCAAATCATAAGATTTTATTGATCGGCAGGTAGGGAATGGATCATACAATCCTTTTACTCTGAAATGACACTTATAACATTTTGTTTACTTACATTTTTCAGTTTCTCTGAAATTGATTCAACTGCTTGTTCTTTCTTCTTTAGCTGTTTCTGTGTTTCCTCAAACTAGAAAAAAAAATCATGTATTGAGTTGCATGTATCCTTGTTGTAAAAGACGGACTTGTTTTTCTATTTCTTGCACCAGTGAAAGAAAATTTATTGAACTTAAAATTAAACATTTGCATGATTTCCAATGAAGATAATGCTGTAAAATATTAACATTTAAATATAAAACCAAACAAACGTCCAAAACAAAACCTTTTTTTCCATGTTGCAATATATAGGCAACACCATCAAAACAAGCAACTCAAAGTTAAAGAAACATGGAGGGTGTGTAAGTTAAGTTGGAATCCAAATTTAATATAAATATAAAATTCAAACATAAAGAGTTTTAAAAAAAGTCATTTCGAAGAAAAAGTTGTAGTCTGTTCATATGCTTCAAAAAACAGCATTTGGAAACCAAAATTTTGCTTCCTCTTCAAAACTCAGTCTATTAACAACTGTTTGAACCTTTACTTTTTTATTCTAAATTAGATAGGTGTCTTCCCAACCATATGATAGCTTATTTACTAAAGTTTAGTACACATTGGGCATATTGATCAATTGATAACAAAAATGTAAAACCCAAAATATACCCATATTTCAGACTATCCATAGTTATTGTGACCTTTCCCTTTGACCTAATTACCCCAAAATCAATAGGGGACTTCCTCACCCAATGAGGCATTCTCAGACCAAATAAGTTGCAAGTTGGACATATGGTTCAAAGATAACATCCAGAAACATTCAAATTCAATCTATCAATAGCTATTGCAATCTATTGCAACCTTGAACTACTGACCCAATTTCAATAGGGGTCCATATTGGACTATTAAAGTACATTTTATACAGTAAGACATATGGTTCTAGTATAACATCTGAAAACAAATCTTTTGCCTAAATTTGAATAAATCAATATCTGCTGTGACATTGACTTTTTAACTTATGACCCAATTATCAATAAGCATTTTCCCATCCCAGGGGGCATTATCAAACCAAATTTGGTACAAGTTGAACATACGATTCAAAGGATAACATCAAGAAACCAAAATTATGTCTAAAGGAGGAGGTACCATTATCTAGCCCCTGAAATTACATAAGTAGTAAAATTAAGCTTATCTTATTGATAAATTAACAAGTTGATGTAAACTGGATATTACTTTGATGTCATAAAAATGTTGAAATTGAAATTTTATACCTAAATTTGACATTTAACTCACAATTTTTTTGATAAAATAGATATTCCCTGCAATCACTCACCCAGAAGTCTCTCATTAAGGCTCGTGGCTGATATTTTACAATATCAATGTGCAATAAACCTGATCATCCACACTTCTAAATTTCATTTAAGAATTGAATGCTTTTTTTTTGTAAATTTATTGGGGTGTAAAAGCGTTGAACGAAGTACAAGTTTTTCTTTTATTTACCTGTGCACTTAATTGCAGAAGCTCGTGTCATCATGAATGTTACATTTCATTTTGAAATGAAGGTTAATTTCAGAATGACGCGAGATTGCTGTTAGCCAATCAAAATAACATATTATAATGAAACATACATGTAATGTAATTATTGGTAAACAGAGACTGCATTTTTATATCTATATGTTACTTACTTTATGTGACTTGGTCTGTGTCTCTTTCTTTTTCTGTGACAATTCTGTATTTAATTTATCAATCTCATTTTGTTGGGATGACACTGAACTCTCATACTCTTTTATCAAGGTCTGTTCAAATATAAAACTGATTTAAATGATATAAACAGGATTGTCCAAAAAAAAAATATATAAACAGGACTGTCCAAGATTCAAATAATATAAACAGGATTGTCCAAAAAAAAAACATGAAACTTTTCCTTAAGAAATACGGCCTACCTAATCATTCTCACAATATTTTTTTTAGAAATCAATGATATTCTGAAAAATACATTGACTCATAATACATAACTATAAGTCACAAAAACTTATGGAAACATTTTATTTTCATTGTTAGTCCAATAACTTTAATAACAATATTTGCACTTGCATCAAAGAGTGAATGATAACTAAGGGAGACAATGGAAGGCTCATGACCTACATTTCATTTTCAGAGGTTGACAGTGTAGGACTAAGAAAACGGCATCAAAATGACAACTTGATTATAAATTGAGAAATGGATGCATGCTTTGATAAATGTTCGTTTCTATTGAGTAGTGAAAACACAAGATTTTATCAGTGCATTAAAAGAACTATTTAAGGGAAGAAACTGTATCAAAAGAAATTTTCATTAAACAAGACCTTGTGACACAATAGATAAATGTAATAGTAGAATAAATCAATATCTTACATTATAAAAAAAAAGGGAACAGACAAAAACTTTTGAAAGAAACAAATATCTGGTGTCAGTATATCAAACTTTTTGTCTTAAGCTGTTACTTTAAAATTTGACCAACTTTCTTTTCTTTTCTTTTCTTTTACACATTTTACCAATTTTATCAATGCTACTAAAGTTTTTGAGCATTTACTGACCTTGTACTTGTTGATTTCTGTTGCTACATCACCAGATGATAAAGTCAGCAATTTTGTTTCCTCTTCTAGCTCTTTAACCTATGAAATATAAATTGTAATTAAGGGTGAATTAAAACTGATCATGGTTGGGGGATGGGCAGCACTCAAATTTGAGTGGTTGCATTTTCCTTAAAATTATGAAAGAATTATAGAGTAATATGAAAATTGTATATATTGTTGTGATAAAAAACTAAGTTTAGCATTTTTCTTTGTGAAGCAAAAATATGCATGTTTTTTTTTTCAAACTTAAAATGTGCTTTAAATTTCCTTAACTGCTATGATATTCGCCAAAATCTGTCATTTCGGAAAATGTTATTGTCTCACAACAGGTATTATTGTTAAATACCCCTCCATTACATTATTGTCTGCAAATTGTGTTTACTTCAATTACTTTCCTTTGCAAAAAGCATGTGATTAAAACACAATTAATGCTCTATTCAGAAATTGTTCATATATTTATGCTTAAATAAATGGGGAATGTGTTCATGGGACACAGATGATGCCCCCACTTGCATATAACGTTATAAAGGGACATAACTCAAGAATGGTAAAAGTGACGCCACTCAAATTCAAACTTGATTACGTGGTAATATAAGCATTGTGTATATGTTTCATAACATTTGGTTGAGGCAAACTAAAGTTAGAGAACGGAAACCAATTTCGGGACGTTCAGACAGACAAGGTTAAAACTTAATGCCTCCTCCGCTACGGGGGCATAAAAAAAGATGTTGACTAGAGTATCACAAAGAATATCATTAGTGGAGCAGAAAATGTGGTGACCCTTTTGAAACACCTATTGTTTGGTGGGGTCTGTGTTACGCAACCTTTGATTTTCTGTGTAATTTTTTCTGTTCGTATCTTCTTCTTTTGGCAATGATGTTGTCCAATTTCTTGGACTTCAGGTTTTGTTATTGACCACTATATATCTTCTCCTCTGTTTTAAACTACACTACCCTTATTTTTCTCCAGAGAAGAAGAACACCATCTTCACATTATATACTAACATTGAATTCATTAAACTACAACTAAGACAAGTTTACTGATTCCTCTTTCCAGCGATTAAGTGAAAAAATATCTAAAAGGACGTAAGTTAACTAGATTTCCAATACATAACATCATGTACCTCCAGAAGGTGTTGATTCACTTGACTTATTTATAAATAGTTTTGGTTGATTGATGGGAACACCATTCAAACTAGAAACCTTATTGACTGTAGGACTAAAGATAAAAAAGTTAATATATCAAAATAGTTAAAAACAAATTAAAACTTACTCTTTTCTGTGATATTTCAAGTTCATCTTCAACATTTTCTCTTTCTTTTGTGGCTATGAATAACTTTTCTTCAAGACCTCTAACCACAACTGTAAAAAAATATATATATAAAGAACACCAATGTATATCTATTATTCATGCCTACTCAAGGTTGGGCGGTATTTACCGCCCCCGGTATTTACCAGTGGTATTTACCGGTATTTACCGCCCCGGACAATACTCCTCAAGTGGTCAATATTGGCAAATACTGGTCAATTGAAAATTTCATGCTTCTTTTGACTGACTTATCTATCAATACTAGTAAAAAATTGGTTGATGAGGTAAAACTTTATTCCTTTGGCATGATTCAGTCTTATAAAAATGAATGATGTTGGTATGTTATTAACTATTAAAACATTAAGAATTACTACTTTAGTTCTTAGGGGTAATGATATTGCATATACTTTTGGTATACATATGAAATTGCTATTTCAGTTACTTTGACATGTATAAATCAAGATATTTTTTTCTTGAAAAGGTTTGAATTTTACAGGTAAATAGAATTACAAGTGATTAGCAATATAGATTATCAGCTGAGTATTACCTATTATCATGATTATATGGCTAACAGGTGTCAAAAGTTTAATTACTATAACAACTGTCCCCTAATAAATGTTGACATAACAGGAAAAAGGTCATAAAAGTGATTTCTGAAGATTGTTTTAAACAATGAATTAATTCCTGACTATTCAACAGCATGATAAAAATCTTCTTAATTCAGGAAATGTTTATTTTTTCATTGCATCTTTCAAAATAACTGTTTAGAAAACCAGATGTTATATAGTCTCTTTTAAGTGACTGACTTCATGGTGTTAATGACTATATCTGTTGTATGATTAAATTAATATTTGATAAATCTTCTTTAAACCATGTTCATGAACTAATTAATTGTGACTTTTTGTCCTAGTACAATTAAGTAAATAAGTGACTTTCTGCCTTGTGACTATATATATCTATCTATCCATTTAACAAGTAATTAACCTGTGGTAGGGACTAGTTTTTATAGTAAAGTCCTATCAAAATTTCAATTGACCAGTATTTGCCAGTATTGACCAGTATTTGCCAGTATTTCCCGGTATTTACCGGTATTTACCACTGGCATGGTCAATACTAGTATTGACCGCTTTTTTGCCAACCTTGTGCCTACTTCCTGTTCTGTCACAAAATACTTTTCTTCTGTATAAATAAGGGGTAATTATATGTTAGATAACAAGATAACCTTAACAGATATCTAGAAGTCACAAGTGTGCATTTCATTGAAATTGTATAAAAAAATGAGTAATTTTTCTTTGAATTTCACTTGAAATAAGGTCATATCTGAAATACATTTTAATTTTATAATGAAAAATGTTGCATGTTATTTTTCATTGGAAGGTGATGTGTCAAGCAAAATTTAACAACATTTTATAATTTTTATTTGCTCATCTTCCCTGGCATTACAATGCCCTGCTCAATATTTGGCTTACAATTGAAAACATCTAAAATATTTGACCTTATATATACATACCTACTGGATCTGTTTTCTTTGGTTTCTTTTTTCCCTATAACAAATAAAATGGTGTAAGATATTATAATCACTGTATGTTTTACCTAATATATTTTCCTGTTTTCTAATATTTGTATCCTACTTTGTTATGTTTTTCACTGAAAACGTACCATTGAGGTGTTTTGTCTGGAATTTGCAGAGTGACGTTGAAATGCAATGCGATAACGTTACGGAAAGGCATGCAATAATACCCGGAAGCAGTTGATAAATTTTTCATATCAGCCCACTAAGCACCATTTCACAAAATATGGAATTCACGTAAATTTAATGCTATTATTATACTGTAAATATTGTAAGTTATTTACTCTAAGTATATGATACCAACCGTGATTTCCCACTAAAATAAAAACTGAGAAATAAATCTAATAATTCATTCTACTTACATACAATAATGGGTGTTGTCAATACCTATTTGATAACTTTCCATCAAAATCAATTGAGAATACATAAATGAAAAATAACTTTGCATTTCTTACTTAATTTCAAGTAAAGGTCAATGTAAAAATTCGAAAGGGTTCCGCGGAACCCAGTGTCTCGCCTACTTTTGCTGTTAATCGCAGGCTCAACAAAAATGAGGAAAAAAATTAATAAAAATATTCCTCTCTATACTATCTTTTAATTGTAAGTAGCTTCTGTCCAAGTTTGGTAAAAATCCAGGATAGTTTATGAATCTAATAAATGTTTTAAAAACTTAAACTGGAGACTGTATGTAATGTTAACTGGAAGAAAAACTAAGTCCATTTATAAGTAAAATACGGAAAAACAGGAACAAAATTTCCTTCTAGATACTAGCTTTTGATAATAAACAAGCTTCTGTCCAAGTTTGGTACAAATCCAGGATAGTTTAAGAAAGTTATTAAAATTTAAAAAAACTTTAACCACAGAGTGAATGTAATGTTTCCTAGCAGAAAAACTAAGTTCATTTATAAGTAAAATACGGAAAAAATGGAATTTTTTTTTTACAAAATTTACTTCTGGATACTGTCTTATGATCATAAACAAGCTTCTGTCCTAGTTAGGTAGAAATGCAGGATAGCTTAAGAAAGTTATTAAAATTTTAAAAAATTTAACCACAGAGTGAATGTTATGTTTCCTGGCAGAAAAACTAAGTCCATTTAGAGGTAAATTACGGAAAAAATGGAATTTTTTTAAAAAAAAATTAACTTTTGGATACTATCTTATGATCATAAACAAGCTCGTGTCCTAGTTTGGTAGAAATCCAGGTTAGTTTAAGAAAGCTATTAAAATTTTAAAAACTTTAACTACAGAGTGAATATTTGTGGACGCAGCCGACGATGAAGACGACGGAATGTAGGATCGCTATGTCTCGCTTTTTCGACAAAAGTCGAAGGCTCGACAATAAAATGAATCACTAATCAAAGAATTCAAATTTCCAAAGTTATTCAACTCGCGACAGAACAACACTGATAATTAACTCATATGCTACAACCTTGTTGAATATTTTCTTTATTATATACTTAGTAGTAACTAGTAAATACAGATAAATTGTTTGTGTAATACAATCATTGGCAAGCATGCTGTATCAGTCACCCGTGATGATATCGATATCAGCACGGGTGCAAAGGCTTTATCACACCTTTAATCTGTATGACGTCACGTCATCGATTGCAGTCACTGTTGCAAAGGCTTTATCAAACCCCTAATCTGTATGACGTCATGTCAAACCTATAATCTGTATGACGTCATGTCAAACCTATAATCTGTATGACGTCATTTCAAACCTCCTTATCTGAATGACGTCATGTCAAACCCCTAATCTGTATGACGTCATTTCAAACCTCCTTATCTGTATGACGTCATGTCACATAAAAAACATCTACGTGAGGTATATGTATATAATAAAGTGTATATGATATGGCTTTTTCAATATCACACACGGTATCAACCCTCAACCAATATAATCCTTCTAGCAGAGCTCTCATGATTATATTGGTGTCTCAGGTTGATACAGATGTGATATTGAAAAAGCCATATGATATTCTCTATATACTTGAATTCTTCCATTAGTTATTATATAAATATCTCTCATTGAGTGTGCCTGATCACCCAAGTGGTTTTTTGTTGGATACCAATTTTTCGTGGATTTCATGGATATATTAGGTTAACCTTGAATTTAGATATTCAACAAAGCACAAATTTTCTAAAGCCTTGTATGCATACTTTGGCAAATCCACGAAATAAAATATCCACCAAATTGCATTTTTTTATCAATCCACGAAAATTTGTATCCACGAAAAAATAGTTGAATCCATAGTATCTAAAATCCTCAAACTACTAAGTACTTACTCCACATAAACAGGACAGACAGGAAATGGTCATTAACATTGTAATTGTTACTATGACAACAAGGACTGTCATCTGTGGTGTCAGACCTAATGGTTCCTGTTCTAACAGAGACTGAATTGAGGGTGGAAGCTGAAAAAAAAACAAGAACAGATGCCTTTGTAACAAAGTTAGTCTTTTAGATGGCTGTAACATGTGTAATTAATCTTAGGTTGATCAAATTCTACAAAAAGGTAACAAAATGAAGGAACAGTATATGTTTAGCTAAGTTTTGATTATAACTAACACAAAGTTTATTGGCAATACCGCAGGTTCATTATTATTTGTGTGATACCAAACTCCATCTGTCCATTATCTAACCTTATAATCCATATAAACTATGTCTTAGACCCAAGTGATATTTAACCTTCTTTGACCATATTTAGCCTTTCAATCTGTAGACTGGCTGATAATATAAAGCCTTTTAATAAAAATTCTAAACTTAGCCTACAATCTCATATCCTAATGATATATACCCATTTACAGCCCAGTCTTGTCTTACCTTTCCTAGATTACAACTCTAGAGCATTATCTAAACAAACAGCTTACCTTTTCTACAACCAGTTTAAGTTTAGCTTCCAATCCTCTGAATCCAACCCTCCATGCTTGTTGTTCCTGGTATTCCTTATTCTCCTCTTCCTCAAGGGTGTCATCAGTAATCTTCCGAGTAAGGACCGTATCTTGTGGGTCAGGTGTCACATTTTGCTGTGATGGTGGCGGTGGTATCTCATCTTGTATAGGTGGTGGTGTTATCTCCTTTTGTGGTAAAGGTGTAATAGTCTGTGGTTTCTCTTCAGTTTTAATATCAGGTTGAACACTCTGTATCCCACCCACATTTGCATCCGTATTGTGTGATAATGGCTTCCTAGTCAAGAAGTCAGCAGTTTTATAAACATCATGTACTTGTGGCTCTGTATTGGCAGGTGGCACATTAGTGTCAGTGGCATTCGCTGTTCCGAACTTGATATCAGTATTATCCTGTAGAACCATTGTTGCCTGATGCTGCTGTTGTTTGGCTGGAATGTCCATGTTCATAGAAGACATAAGTTGTTCAGCTACTGACAGGGAACTTCTAATGTCATTCTGCAATACCTGGGGCTGGGTCTTACCACCTTCTGTTAATGGCTTTATCTCTTTAACATCAGCTGGTGATGGTGCTTGGGTACCAGTTTGCTGTTGCAAAGAACTATGCTGATGCTGTACTGGTTTATCACTCACCAATGGGGAAACAGTTTGTTGTTCTGGTGGTGGTGATGGTTGCTGGGGTAAAGAACCAGCTTGTTGTTGTGCTTGTGTTAAAGAGCCAGTTTGTTCTTGTTGTTTCAGTGGTGAATTCTGGTGAGCATCACCTTGTTGATCTGGTTTATCACTTATAACTGGGGAACCAGTCTGAACAGAACTGGATTGCTGTTCAACAGCAGGTTTTTCTTCATTTGATTCTTTCTTCTCCTCATCTAAAAAGTCTAAAAATTCAACATCAGGATGAGAGACATAAGCCTTTTTAACAGCCTCACTCAAAATGTTTTTGTCTTCTTTTGTTTTCTGATCTTGGATCTCCTGTTCCTTTGGCATTTGACCTGTCTGAAACTCCTTCTTATTTGGAATCTGATCTTCACTTAGCTGTTCAGTCTGAACTGACTGAGTTGGTTCAAATTTTTCTGGTTGCATTTTTTCCTGATCTGTTAGGCTTGCTGGTTCCTGTTGTCTCACTTGTTCAACTGTTTGCTCTTGCTGACCTTGTTGTTCTTGTGGTACCTGTTGACCTTGCTGTATTTGTTGACCTTGCTGTATTTGCTGACCTTGCTGTATTTGCTGACCTTGCTGCATTTGTTGACCTTGCTGTATTTGTTGACCTTGCTGTATTTGTTCACCTTGCTGTTTTTGTTGATGTTGCTGGTCAAATTCTCGAGTTATATCCTGATCCTGTCTCTGATTTGTCTGCCCAGTTACCTGAGGTGAAGTCAATTTCTGTTGGTCTTGACCTGTCTGTTGTGGTTGTTGTTGACCTTGTTCTGTTTGACCAGTTTGTGGAGGTTCTTGAGGGGAACTCTCTTTCTGTTGTGTTTGGATTTCTATTGATTTATCTTTTTGTCCTATTGGACCAGTTTCTTGAGGCACCTGAGGTGGACTCTCTTTCTGTTGAGTTTGACCCTGTAAACTTTCCACTGGTCTTTCTTGTCCTGTCTGACCTGACTGCTTGGTCACCTCCTGTTCTTGGGTCTGAGATTTCTGCTCAAATGTCTGCTTTTGTTCCATTTCTACAACATTTCTACCTTCTTCTACTGGTGTTTTTTGACTAGCAACAACATCTTGTGTAACAGTAGCCTGTATTACTGGTGTTGAACTTTCCACTTTAAGGGCTGTTTTCAATGGTTCAGAATCTTCAAACATATCTAAAGGGAAAGGTGTGCCATCAATGATTGTATATCCTTCCATTACTGATGGTTGTGAAGATTCCAATACATGTGTGGGCTTCACTTGATCAGCAGAGGTCTCCTTAAATTCTACAGGTATGTCAACAGCAGGAGTGGGCTTGACCTCCTCAGATGGGATCACTTCAACAGAAGGTGGGGTCATCTCTTTAGCAGGGACCTCTTCTACAGGTTTTTCTATGTTATGTGATTGTTGCGTTGCCTGGACCTCTTCTACAGGTTTTTCTATGTTAGGTGATTGTGTTGCCTGGACCTCTTCTACAGGCTTTTCTTTGTTAGGCAATTCTGGTTCCTGGGCCATTTCTAAAGGTTTTTCTATGTTAGGTGATTGTGTTGCCTGAACCTCTTCTACAGGCTTTTCTATGTTAAGTGATTCTGGTGTCTGGGTCTCTTTTAAAGGTTTTTCTGTATTAGGTGATGGTGTTGCCTCAACTAAGTCAGGTGAAGTTTTCCTGTCTTCAACAGCTTTTCTTTCCTCTTTCTCATCTACTTCAACTTTCCCCTCACTTTCATTTTCTTTGCTTTCACTTTCCTCCTCCTTTTTTTCATCCAATAGATTTTCATCACTTATTTGCAATCCTTCATCCGATTCAACAATCTGTAAATCAGGTTTCTCACCATCTGTTATTTTCTGTTCTTGACCCTTTAACAAGGGTTGACCTTTGACATCTGGAGTATCAGTACTTTTTTCCACTGGTTTTAGACTATCAGATTCATCTGCCTTTACATCTTTTATATCCTCTTTGTTATCATCTGTCTCCATTTCATCTCCCCCTACTTCTGTTTCATCTACCTCTGTACTATCATCTGAAATTGAACACAAGAATTTTAATTTTTTTCAACAATTTAAAATTTTAAATACATTCTGTAAAAATATATAATGATATGGTATAATAATCCATAAATGCATCTGACAATACATTGAACAAGTTTAAGCTAAAATATGTCCATGTGCAAGATATTGTTCAATGAACAAAAATCTTTAGGAATTACATTAAACTATATAATATTTTAACAGGTATCAAATTATTTATTCTAAGAAATTAAGAACTCATAGTGGGGAAATGGTTGTACATATTAGTTTAAATACCTAGCATATTTATGATTAAAACTCAGAATAAATTAAAATCAGGTTATACAGATAAAAATCTATTTATCAATAAGCTTTTTGGCTAAGGAAAAAATGTTGCCGTTTAAATCTCAAAACTGAAAACAATTAAATAAAAGATAAATTTGTGGGGGGTCAATTTTTTCTCATTTCAGATTTCAGAAATTAAAAAGAAAAAGGGGGGGTAAATTTTTTATTTTTTTTTGTTGGGAAAAAACCTTTAATCTCCTCTGGTTTGGTATCATCTCCTGTGGTCTTTTCTGTCTTTTCATCTCCATCTTGTTCCTCTGTTTCATCACTTCCAGTTTTATGTTGGTCTTGTTTTATCTTGTCATCCTTCCCTACATCTTGTTGGCCTTCACCTCTGACCTCATTCTGTTGTGCTTCATTTTTGACCTCATCTGGCTTTCCAATATCTTCCTGGACTTTGATCTCATTGTCTTCTGTTTCAATTTCTGTTCCATCATCGTCTGATAACTCTGTCCCATCTTTGTTATCCTTCCAATTAAAAAAAAACTTTACATTGTGAATCAATACGGAATAGATATTATACCTATGTTTTATTTTTCCTTGAAATCCTAGCACAAAAAGATGGGTTTTTCCAAAATTTGTGATTGGTTAACGAAAAATAAGTTTTTACCACAATCAGACCCCCTTCCCCCCCCTTTTCCAATTTTCACAGACAAAAAATCTGACACCAGGAATCAATTAGGAATTGCATATATTATACCATTATATCAGTTCTCATTGAAATCTGAACACAAAAAGATGTTTCTCTAAATTTGTGATTTATAACAACAAAAAAACTACAACAGACTCATCAGTGATGCTCGAATAAAAAAAGGCTAAATAAAGTACATAGGTGAAGAGCTCAATGGTCACAAGACCCTAAATTCCAAAAAGGTTTTGACACCTACAGCTAAGGTTATCTATTTTTGGGGTAAAAAATTCTTAGTATTTCACCAAAAAATTGTGCATTTCTAAATATAATGCACAACAACTGTGCAAAATTTCATCTGTATCCCAACCATACATTTTGAAGTTTTTGCATTTTCCAAAGCTATTTCTCAAAATTTGTGATTTATTAACAAAAACTAAGTATTTTCCAATATTTACTTACCAATTTTTGCAAAAAAATAATATGCACAACAATTGTGACTAATTTCATTGACCTCCTACCCTTACTTCTGGAGTTTTTACGCCTAAAAAAATTGTTGACAAAGTAAAAACTATAGAGTTCCTGCATCCTCGATGTGTGGCCCTAACTATACGACTACAATGTGCTGTAAGATGCTTAACTTTAAAAGGAAGAAATCTAATATCATTTTTGTGAAATGTAACATGTTTACTGGACAACTTATTTGATAGCTACAACACTGTATTAAGAGACTCCCTTCTAAATATATACAAACAAACTGATGAAGTTTTAGCAGCTACTATAATTTGAATCTAATTTTAATCCTGGTATCTATGATGAGTTAATTTATCTAAAGCCTGATATTTTGATATACTTGTACTATAAAATCATGATGGTAATAGAACTTACACCCCTAAGTTGCTGTAGTTTTATATTTAATGTTGTTGATTACCTTTTTTTCTGTTTCCTCTGGGTTCTCATCTACAATACAAATGAGAGTTGAGAAAAGTTATGCAAGAATTTCTAATCTGAGTTCAATAGTGCTTCTTAACTTTTAACGTCATTCAGTTCAGAAATACAAGATATAACATACTGCATCCTGATGGTAGCTGGACTATGCAGGATTTTTATTATGTAACCCAGTACTTATAAAGCTGATTTACAAATAATGTGTCCTCTTTTATTACCTTGTTCAAGTTAGTGGTCATCTGCTGGTAGCTGGACTGTGCTGATTTATAAATAATGTGTCCTCTCTATTACCTTGTTCAAGTTAGCCGTCATTCTGTTGGCAGCTGGACTTCCTTTTTTTATCGTGTGCTTTACTTATACATTTGTACAACATATGTTGATTGTTTTTATTTGTATGTGTTCTTTGAGGAGTCTTTTATTGATTGTCTTTGCTTGTATGTGTCCTCAGAGGAGTCAGTTGTTGATTGTAATTTCTCAAATGTGTCCTGAGAGGAGTCAGTTGTTGATTGTGTTTGTTTGTAGGTGTTCTTTGGGGAGTCTTTTATTGATTGTCTTTGCTTGTATGTGTCCTCAGAGGAGTCAGTTGTTGATTGTGATTGTTTGTATGTGTTCTCAGAGGAGTCAGTTGTTGATTGTCTTTGTTTGCATGTGTTCTCAGAGGAGTCAGTTGTTGATTGTCTTTGTTTGTATGTGTTCTCAGAGGAGCCAGTTGTTGATTGTCTTTGTTTGTATGTGTCCTCAGAGGAGTCAGTTGTTGATTGTCTTTGTTTGTATGTGTCCTCAGAGGAGTCAGTTATTGATTGTCTTTGTTTGTATGTGTCCTGAGAGGAGTCAGTTGTTGATTGTCTTTGTTTGTATGTGTCCTCAGAGGAGTCAGTTGTTGATTGTCTTTGTTTGTATGTGTCCTCAGAGGAGTCAGCTGTTGATGTTGATTGTCTTTGTTTGTATGTGTCCTCAGAGGAGTCAGCTGTTGATTGTCTTTGTTTGTATGTGTCCTCAGAGGAGTCAGTTGTTGATTGTCTTTGTTTGTATGTGTCCTCAGAGGAGTCAGTTGTTGATTGTCTTTGTTTGTATGTGTCCTCAGAGGAGTCAGTTGTTGATTGTCTTTGTTTGTATGTGTCCTCAGAGGAGTCAGCTGTTGATGTTGATTGTCTTTGTTTGTATGTGTCCTCAGAGGAGTCAGTTGTTGGTTGTCTTTGTTTGCATGTGTTCTCAGAGGAGTCAGTTGTTGATTGTCTTTGTTTGTATGTGTCCTCAGAGGAGTCAGTTGTTGATTGTCTTTGTTTGTATGTGTCCTCAGAGGAGTCAGCTGTTGATGTTGATTGTCTTTGTTTGTATGTGTCCTCAGAGGAGTCAGTTGTTGGTTGTCTTTGTTTGTATGTGTCCTCAGAGGAGTCAGTTGTTGATTGTCTTTGTTTGTATGTGTCCTCAGAGGAGTCAGTTGTTGATTGTCTTTGTTTGTATGTGTCCTCAGAGGAGTCAGTTGTTGGTTGTCTTTGTTTGTATGTGTCATCAGAGGAGTCAGTTATTGGTGGTTGATGTAGTCTGTTGGTAAATTTCTGTTATTATTTTTGTGTATCATTCGTTATAATAAAACAAAGAAATTTAAAACGATCAAGAATGATGTCAGATTTATGATCAGAAATAACCGTTTGCCACAAATTTCTTATTGGATATCTTTCAGTTGAATACTCAATTTATTGTTGGTATATAAAAAGCAACCTTGAGAACAAATTAATTTGTGTATCATGAAATGAGTTGTTCAAGAAGATCTGTGCCATTCATTAAAAAGTGGTTTGCACAGAGGAGAGTGGACACCAAACCTGCATATTAGGTATCATTACTTTTTTTACTACCAGTTTTAATATTTTATAATTTTTTGCAATGTGTATATCTTTGTATTGTCCATATGTCTTCAACCCCTAGGGGCATAAATGTGTATTTCTATAATAAATAAATATCATAAATAAATAAATAAATAAATAAATAAATAATAATTTACCACTTTGGTATCCTTCGTCATCTTCTTTAATATCAGTCTCATCGTCATCTTCAAGTTCCGTATCATCCTTTTCACCTTCTGATTGTGTCAATGGTGGCTTTGGTTCATTACCCTAAAAAATATAACAGCAAGATTAATAACCTTATTGGAAATGGAAACACATATTTTTTCTCATATTCAGCCATTTTATAACCATTAGTTTTCTTTTTTTACAAAAATCAAATCCATACCATACAGATAGTTTACAATAGTATTGTCACATAACCCTTATTATTACATCAAAATTTAACCATTTTAACCCTGTTCATGAAAAATTTAGTTATAATAACTTAAACATAGCCACATTCAACACAGCTATATCCAGTTTTCTCTAATTCTTCGTCAATTTATCCCTTTCTGCACCCATTGTATAAAAAAATTTAATCAACGTGTGGTTCGTTTGATCTCAGTTGTTCATTGGTTAAAATCCGATTATGACATCGAATTTTCTTGCTTTCCTCTGAATTTCCTATTGTGACGGCATGAAAAAAGGCAACCATGCCTGATGACGTCACAAAGAAAAAACACATCTTTTTGCAGATCATTGAAAAGAAGGAATAAGTTAGCCTGCGTATTGTTTGAAAATCATTAGAGAAACAGATTCCACCACCAAATCTCGTGTTATGCGATATTTATCCATTCTCGACAGTTAAATTTTAAATATCTAAAACTCTCGGCGAGCCTCGCGTTTTAAATTTGAAAATTTAACTGTCTCGAGTGTCTCGAGTGGATAAATATCGTATCACACTTGATGCAGTGGTAGAATCTATATGTCTCTATTTACTTTAAAAGGTCATTGTTACAAAGTCATAAATTAGTAGATTTTTTATCAAATTATCAGAGAGACTACTCCTAATTCACCATAAACACTCATATTCCATTCTTAATTCTAATATTCGTATTTTCATTACACATCTCAGTCAAATAACAGATATCAACAATACAACATAATCATGATTATTACTAAAAATATAACAATAATAATTGTTGAATGTTCAAGAACAGAAGAATGAGATTCAATCTACAAAAGGTTCATATCATAAATTCATTAACTTAATGTTGTTTTTTTTGTCAAGGTAAGATATTTGTTCTCAGATACATTTGTATTTTGCCCTTTTTATTTCAGATAAAGAATTCAGATATAAATTGTATGTCACCTTTCAACATAATCCAAATCAATCATGTACAGTATACTACAGATAGTTGTAGTACAGTTCACACTCATTGTCTCGAAATCGGTTGACTCAAATTTCAATTAAGTTGAAGTTTTCCTGTGGTCCCGATTTTATTTCATATAAATATATGTATTTCGACTCCAAATGAGTCAAAATTGGCTTAGTCGAAATTTCGGTTGACTCGAACCAAATTTATGGTCCCAAGATTAGCAAAAGCATTCAAATTGCATCATGTGCATTATTAATCTCGAACTAATACACACATGTCAAAACCTGACCTCAAGGATTTAAATGGTTCATCTGACAATAATTTTATTTTGGATATAACACGTCTTCTGATTGGCTGACGTTGTTTTGTTTATCAGCTCATAGACATAATTTTGTCATGTGACCGTGACATCATCAATGTTTTTTCATGGTTAACTCCGGTTTAAAATGGAATTTAGAATTAAATTATAAGAAATGACTGTAATATTTTTTCTGTCTATTAGAAATAACATAAAAAATGTGGTGCACACTTTAAAATAAACCGCTACGCGGGTTATTCAGTGTGCACCACATTTTTGATGTTATTTCTTCATAGACAGAAAAAATATTACAGTCATTCCTTAAATAAATGTGTAAATAAATTTCCGGTCACTGACCACTGTATTGATTAACATTCTTTTTCCATGAAAAATAATAAAAGACCATAACATACAGATATATCGATCGTAGAACAGAATATTGATCCCCTACCCATATTTGTCTGGATTTATTTTAGCCTTATCAAGCTAAGCAAGAGTTGTGTTCCTTGGTCTGTCAAACTTCAGGTAGTGTTCTCCCCAGGTCCTTTTAGCATCATGGTAATGTCATGCTATATTGCTTGAATGTGATGCTATCTGAATTGAGTTTTCTTATAGATTAAGTTATGGATGTGATGCTATAATTTCTAGAAACAAGATGGTATTTCAAATTTCCCTGTTTACAAGCTTAAGTATGCTTAATGAAATGTCTGGGGAGAACACTGTCAGGTTTTCGTTTGTGTTGAACTATGGGTATCTCGATATATTTCTCTGGTCCGACTGACTTGGAGATAATGTGAGTCTACTTTAAATTTTACATTTTTTAATTCTAATCCCTGATTTGATGGTTGAAGATTAACTTTACTAATGAAATATCTCTGTATTTGTTATTACCATCAAACATAGATTTACGACAGCAAAATGCGAAACTGTTATCTACATTCTAATACAACCGTAATATTTTTATTTTTTATCATAAAATCTGCATCTACCTTCTGCAGATAAATCCAAAAACATCAATTTGGGAAATTACATCACAAATCTAAAGATTGTCCCATCAGAATTATTATTACCGTCTTTTGGTATGTATAGTGCGCACATTTATACCCTGGGTCATGTTTCTTGTAAGAGGGGTGCGCGTTATACATGCCTACAGACATTTTCTTAGTCGTTTTACAGGTCCAAACTCCGACAAAGAAATTTCCAGGAGAAGTGAAGGGTACGGAATATTTTTACTTAAACCTCGATTGTTTTTATGTTTTACATGTTATATTTGTAATATGTATCTTATTGTTTTGATTTGTCATGTTTTATTCAAATAAAATACATTTTATATCTCTGTAGTTACGTTTATCGTGTAAATTTGTCCATCTGTTTGCAATCTGGAAATTTGCCATGTCTTAATAAAGACACAATAAAGCTTTTGTTGTCGGTTAAATTAGCCTCTGTGTTCCTTGTTGTCATAACTTACTGTTTTTGTATGTGTTCATCATGGAGAGTAGAAGAAAAGTGTATGAAAATTGAATAAACCACGCTCGTTTTGAAAAGATAAACCACCATTTTTTCTAATGTATCAGGTGATCGCCAGTCATGTGGGTCAGTCATGTGACTTGATATTGTAAAGTGACGATTTAGTCTATGAGAAGTTTATTTTTATAAATACGTTTCTACTTTGTAACATTTAAACAACTATTTAAAACTGTTCAAGAAGAAATCATGATTGAAATCATGATAATCTCATAATTGTAACCTGAACGAATTTAATTAGGAACAAGGTGAACCTGTCACTGATTTGTTTTGACATCGATTAGACCCGTTGTTTGAGGTGTGATAATCCAGATTAACAGCTAGAATCAACAAACAAAAAATAAAAATTATGAGATTTTAACAATTTATAACAGCACTAATGATGTTAATGATAATCATTTGACTGATTCGTAATTATGCTATTGTTTCAATCAGAACATTAATTTGGATATTTTATCTTGTCCATGATACTCAAACAATTTATTAAATTTGGTTTGAAAAAAACAAACTTAAATGTAGATTTATCTCAATCTAATAAAATTCTTATTCATTTGTCAGAATATTTTCAATTTCATATTAATAACGTATTCCGTACGGAATTCTCCGACATCGGTGTCCATTTAAAAAACTTCCTGTTTACCGATAGACTTCCTGTTTGCCGATTTTGGAGCTGTAACTTTTCCGAAAATGTCTATGAGTCTTATACGAACAATAAACTTTTTTTCTCACCTTTCTTGGACCATAAAGGGGGTGCGCACTATACACAAATGCGCACTATACATCCCAAAAGACGGTATAAATAAATTATCACTAACCAAAAAAACAACAGCTTGTATAGTAGTCAAAAGGTAGCTTTATTCTGCTATATTTTTGCATATGCAGTGACTTATTCTAATCAAATCATAGATGGTAACTTTCTAGCTAGGTTGGATGATTTCAAATTAATATTTCCTAACAATAATGCACTGACCTCTGTGGGAACAATCTTTCCTGGGTTGGGGATTTCCACTTTATATTCCCTCACAAATGATCTTGGAAAGTAACCTTTTCTATCTCCAATCTGAAAACCATAGTAAAGAATAAAGATTTATTATAGATTATGTATAGTACATTTACACTGAGAGAAAAGCATTAATTAAATATATATTGTTCATAGTAGCTACATGTGTCAATATCATTTTAACAGGGTTGTGATCTAAAAAAAAAATAGTTTAAAATCACCACATGATTATCATGATTATGTGCTTGTTCAAAGTCAGGCAAATCATTGTGTACATGGTCAGTACTTGTCTGCACTTGCCTCAAAAAGTGGTTGCCACAACAATCACCTGCATAAATTATTGTTCCCAGCCTCATGAAAATTGTACCAAGCACCTCCTTTTTAAAGACGAATGCTTTATATTTTGTTCTACCTTAGTTTAAAGTAAGTTCATGAATATATTAGATCAATAATAGATACAAGAGTGCACACGCTGAAATGTCTCGCCTGTTTTACTGACCATTGATTTTATGTTGAAAGTCTTAAAGGTAAAGGTTTTACTAAAAGCATTACAGAAACTTACCATTTTTTAAAATCTATGACAATGAGGTCAAGGTCAGATAAATTGTGTCAGACAGACATATACACCTTACAATTTTTGTATACACCAAATATACTTGACCTATTGAGTATGCCAATTGAAAAACAGACCTAAACACAAAAACTTATCATTGAAATGAACCATAAATATGAGGTCAAGGTCAGATGATACCTACCAGATATACATGTGCACCTTACAATTATTCCATACACCAAATATAGCTGATCTATTGCTATTAGTATTTGAAAAACATACCAAAACACAAAAGCTTAACATTGACCATTTAACCATAAAAATGAGGTCAAGGACAGATGATACCTTCCAGCGCCAGTTAGGATGAAACTACACAAGGGCATTAAGTCATTACTTAACTGCAATTGAATGTTACTTGCTTAATACTGATTTAGTCTAACACATGTACACAGTGATGTTTGTTTACAATGGAGAGCGAAGAGAGAGAGCGGGCTAAAACATAGCTAACAGTTCCGGACAATAGAGCCTATTATGGCGTTACCAGTTTTTCTTTTTTTTTCATTTTGAAAATTAAAGTTACTTATAAGACTCTGCTTACATGTTACAAGAACAAACATATTAATTGTTGGAAAAAAACACTTTCATAGGGTAGACTGCCCTCAAGTGATATCAGGGATTATTCTGCCCCATTTATACATAATAATAATCTAACAAATAATAGTTCTAATTTGCTATTACAACGCAAAATCTTTTGTGCTTATGGTCCACACTGGTTATATTAGTACACAATGTTTGTTTCTCTCACTTAAATAGAACATAATTGTCTTGAAGAAATTTAGGAGGATGGCGTTCCCGTGTGGATCGTCGAATTACATCGGTGTTTACTTGATCATCAGGTTCGTGTTGTAATTCATTTTCGCCTATTGGTAAGCTTAAGTCACTTGGTTCGTTTTCGAAACGTTCCGGATCAAACTCCTGTAAATGAGGAATGGATATTACATTTGGAATGTCAGGAGGTTTAGGCGGGCTATGTGTTTTCACTGTATTATCGTCCTCATCCGAAGATGTACAATTGTCGTGATTATAAGTATCCTGTTGGCTTAAAGTGTTCAATAGTGACGGAACTTTATAACAATCACTCCTTTTTACACGGTATGATGTATTGCGTAACTGAGAACCAACAAATTTTCTTATGTTGCACCAAGAATTGTCTGTAGAAACAACTAGATATCGGTCACGAGCACAAGTTTTGTTTCGGTCATTATATAAGTAAACTAGATCACCAACTTCTAAATGCGGAGATTCGGGTAGAGCTCTAGAGGGAGCTTTAGAAATTTCGCTGTAACTGTGGTTTGACTTTCATAACTCATGTTGACGCTGAATAAGATTATGGTCTGTCAATGGTATTTGGTTGTTTGAGAATTGATCACGTTGAGTCCACATTTCTCTTGCAGATAACCCGCGGTTTCGAATTCGAGAGTTTAAACGGGCAATAGATAACGTGAGTGACAGAGGTGATATACATCGTGTATTCAGGTCTTGTCGCAAAATTTCGTCTTCTAACTCTTGAATTGCCTTGTCGGCTACAGGGTTTTTGTTTTTGTTCTTGACACGACCAACTTCTATGGTCATTCTATGTCGACGCAAAAGTTCATCCTTGACAAGGGCTTGGAATCCTGGAGCAGGGTCGGTACCAACGACAGCAAATGGTCTATCGAGTGGACATAGTTCAACACAAAGGCACAATAAAGATTCACGTAAAGTTTCTTGGCGCTCGTCTGTGATCAAGCGAGCAGCTGTGTATGACGTAACATATTCGCGCATAACAAGGATAAGCTGTCGTTCACGCTTCATCACATCTGCAGCAAATGCAGACCCTATTGTCTCTGGTGGGTCACCTGTAGATTGTACATTTAACTTGTGAGGAATTTTTTGAAGAGCGGCACATTGATGACATCCATTACTGACAGTTTCAATTGCTTTATCCATATCCAGTGCGAAAAAGTAACGGTGTACGACAGATTTAAGTTGATAGGTTGAAGGATGGTCGAGTTTAATGTGTAAGGATGTAAGCAGTCCATCTAAAACCTGACGAGGAACAACAATACAATCGCGCGTAGGAGCCATTGGCTCGTTTCGCTTGACAACAAGTAAACCGTCTTTCGCAATACACACATTGTTCAGATAGCGTTTAATATCCTTTACATTAGTAAGTTTTTTTTATGGTCGGTTCCCTTGGCGCAAGTGAGCATGTGTTCGCCGTAAATCCGAGCATTCTGTTTGGATTGATATCCAGGCATTCCTGCTTGTAAACGGAAGTTTTTGAATCCCTTCAAGAATGTCTTTTGTAGAGATATGTCTAACAACTGAATTTTCAGTAAATTGCACAAATATACAGATTTGACAGGCTGAATCCTCACAGTCTGGTGCATTGGGACTTGCAAAATTGGACGGAAGTATAGTAGCTCCTGCTACATGTCTTACTGTTACTTGATATCTACAGGCTGTTGAAAGAAATGTCGAAACACGTGGGCTTGCTGAAAATTCTCCCCTACACAGCTTCTCGAATGCCTGAACACAGGGTTTACTATCGGTCAGTATGCAAGTGTTGTGTTTTGATTGTATGATATACGGACTAAAGTGCTTAATCGCTGAGGCAATAGACAGTGCTTCGATTTCACAAGGCAGCCACGTTAATTGGCGTTTTCGCAGTTTTGCACTAAAAAACCCAGCTACATGTATTTTATCATCACGTGTTATATAAAGGGTAGCACCTAAGCCATGTTTTTTTACAGAACCATCGGTAACGATCCATAGTTGATCATTTGGTTGAGGTAAAAATATTGAACGATTTGTTGAAAGAGCTTTCTGAGCCTGTGAAAATATATCAGTAAGTTCGTCTGACCATTGTATAGTTTCTTTAGATTCTAGACCGGCTACAACATCATCAAGTTTACCCAGTAATGAAGCACAATCTGGTATTACTCGTGCTAGTACTTTATACGCTCCAATAAAAGACCGCAAACCACATACTTTGGCTGGTGGTGGACAAACTGATAAGGTAGAAATACGATGTGGGTTAGCTCTGATAGTTCCTAATTGCCAAATCCATCCAAGAATAGTTGTACTTTTGGGTGCGATAATCGTTTTAGTAGCAGACAAATTTAGACTGCTCTTTTGCAGAGCCTGTAGAACCCTTGTCCAGTTTTGTAGTAATTCGTGTAGGGTATTTCCACCGCAATAAAAGATCATCGGCTATTTTAGCTACAACGCCTTCTTCTACAAGATCACCTAAAACACGGCACATAAGCTCCTCTAGTGCTGTTTCTGAGCCTGGCATGCCCATTGCAGAGCGCACATACACACGTACACCTTTAAAGGGGGTTACTACACCACAGTATTTCATAGAATCACTCGAAAGTGGAATTTGGTAGAACGATTTAGTAAGGTCAGTAGCTATTATGTATTTCCACTGTGCTATTTGACGTAAGGTTGAGTCAACATCTGGCATGAGTGACGGTTGGGGTTTACTATATCGACCTACGTCTGCAAAAGCGGTAACTAAACGGAAACTGCCATTTGGTTTCTTAACTAAAAAAGACGGGTTAATGTACTCTACAGATACACCAATATCTTCTGGGCGTTTGAAAACGCCAATTGCTTCAAGTTCATCAAATTTTTGTTGTAGTTCTACTAAACAAGGAATTATTTGAATCTGGAATAATTTTGAATTCTGGAAAATTGATTAGAAATGTATGATGAAAACTAACCCAACTAAATAGGGTTAGCCATGCGTGCATGGCTAAGGTTAATTTTACTTTCACTATCATTTCAGTATGAACTAACTAACCCACCTTAGCCATGCGCGCATGGCTAACCCTATTTAGTTGGGTTAGTTTTCATCATATATTTCTCATCAATTTTCCAGAATTCAAAATTATTCCAGATTCAAATAATTCCTTGTTTACTAGTTGATTACAGGAATATTGCGGAACACGGCCTTTGCGTTGCGGGGGTTGGACTGGTCCCATGTTTACTCTAGCTTGAAATGGACCGGCGGCGCCATTATATCCCTTAAATTATGGATCAAAAACATCATCATAGTCTTTTAATGTATCCCGGAATTTTATTTTTATCTCTTGAGATAACAAATTATCTGGGTCAATTTTGACTGATTCTGAATAATTTGTCAATCTTGGGTGACTAATTTTATCATTTTTTTCAGTAGATTCGAAAGCATCACTTTTACACTCTGGAATATATGTTGATCGTATTTGACAAAAGTGTTCGTTGCGTCTTAAACTATGGGGTTCCTGTGTCAAATTTGGGATACGAATTCTGCCAGCAACACTTGTAATCAAATTTGGCAGGGGCCACAGGTTAGAATCCTTTCCAACATGTATTGATGAAATATGCGACTCGAATCTTGGTTCAATGGCGAATGTATCATCAGTTAAGCAAATATCAGATGGTAATTGCATTTCAAGAAAATCGTCTGGCCAAATAGTTGTAAATTGAGATGGAGCGCGTAAAACGTGTGCCCGACGGACTGTATGATGTTCGGACGTGTTTTGAACAGAGCCATAAGTATAAACGGTATTGTTACCCAGTATTACTTGACGTTTAGCAGGACGGATAGAAATGTCATTTTTTTCCATAAAAGGAATACCAGCCAAGATGTCAACATCCAAAGTTTCGACGACTAAACCCTCAAAATGTAGTTCACGTCCATCACGTGTGAAATTAGTGTGTACTTCCCCAATGACTTTGAGGGGTGAAGATCCATCGGCCAGATGTGCAGATTGAGAGCTAGATTTTATTTCAATACCCATTCGTTTAGCTGCGGATGCACGTAACATATTGCCGGTCGCACCACTATCAATAGTTAAACGAGTGTTATAATGTGTATGGAACACGTCAAGATACGGAGACTGACGGACTTGGACTCGGTTTACTGAATGAGTAGGTTTAGAAACAGTGTCGACTTCTACGTCTGATGATTCGTCATCTGAATTATCAAATATTCCGGCAATTTGTCGGGCTTTTACCATGTATTTTCGATCGCTGTTCGGTAAGAATGAGCACTTGCTGAGGAAGTGGCGGTCGGGTCTGCCTGCAGCTTTACATAACGGACAGCTTTTAATAGAGCGTGGATAAGATAATTTTAGTTTTTCTTCATGAACAAACTTAGATTTTGTGGGAAAGTTAGAAGTAGCTGCTCGCATAACTTTTGCGTCCTCAGAATTCCGGAGTTCCTCAAGTAATGAATCTAGCGCTTGCGAAACTTCCGGTTTTATTGACGACAATGTTCTCGATCTTAATTCTGTTCCATATCTTTGTTTGACCAGTTTAGGTAGGTCTGTATGTATTAGTCTTAACCATGTTAGCACGACAAAGTTTTCAAGTGAAGGTGTCATTTCTTCATCTTCCTCGATTGCGCCCCCGTGATGCGTTATTTGGGTATCGCGTTGGAGCAGGTTGTCTTCAACAAAAGCCATTATTCGTTGATAAAGGTCTTCTGGGCGTTCGTTCGGTTCAAAATGTATTGCGGCAAAGTCTATAAAATGAGCACCCGTGGATTGGAATCCATAATGTAAACGGATGGTTTGCCATATATTTTCAATCGAAGTAGAATTTTTCACTATTGTGTTTCTAGAGATAACGGGGCAATAATTGGCTATTTGACCTAGCATTAATTCTAACATGCTGACTTTTTGTTCACGTGTATGCCTATTTGCCTCGGCTACATCTTCACCATCATGTAAAAAGCCACGATTGGGAGCATTCCTAGTTTTCTTTTCCCAATGTACGCCGTCTCCTAAGAATGGTGCAAAATGTGGGTCTAATGATAACGTGTATATTATGTTTTGTCTCCAGTTTTCAAATGAATTTACAGTTTCAATTTTAGTAAGGCACCACTGTTTAGGTGCTCTGTGTGTATTAGCCATTGTGTTAAATGTTCTTGGTTATTTGCAGTTTAAGTTTCACGGTAAATATTTATCTACGGATGACCTAGACAGGTTTTAGTCAGTCCCGATGTTTGTCTCAACAATGTGATGAATAATAACCTTTCTTGTAGGCGTAAATTCGAATCACGCTGCCACCACGCCAGTTAGGATGAAACTACACAAGGGCATTAAGTCATTACTTAACTGCAATTGAATGTTACTTGTTTAATACTGATTTAGTCTAACACATGTACACAGTGATGTTTGTTTACAATGGAGAGCGAAGAGAGAGAGCGGGCTAAAACATAGTTAACAGTTCCGGACAATAGAGCCTATTATGGCGCAGACAGACATGTACACCTTACAATCATTCCAATTGAAATATAAAGTACAGTGCAACCGCAACAGATAGAGACATTTTTTTTCTAATTGTTCATATATTATTGAAATCTGTTTAGATATCAAATACTGGTTGCAATTTGACGTTAAGCAACCAACAATCAATCAATCAATCAATCAAACACCAGTACCCGCTTACAAAATAACGGCAAATCCAGCATCACGCTTACACCCCAATGAGACTCACTTAATTATTAATTATCTTTTTCATTAATATTTTGTATTGATTTAATTACCTGTCCACCCCAAAGATCTGGTCTGTTTCCTGCAGATTTACTTAACACTTCTACAACTTCTCCCCGGCTGAATGTAAGGAAAATAGGGTCATTGTGATGATGTCTGGCTAATGTCTTAGCTAATGATAACATAGCTGAAAAATAAAACATACTGAACACCATGCTAACATGGAAATTTAGTCTTTTGTTTTGAAACATACATTTGTTCACTTCAAATATCCAAGACTAAATAAAGTTTATAAACTAGAGGCTCTAAAGAGCCTGTGTCTCTCACCTGGATCTATGTGTATGGGTATCCAAGGGAAACTCATTAAAAATATTTGATCGGCACTTATTATTGAAATTGTCTGAGACATTGCTGTTATATACCTTTTGATATGAATTTGATAAAAATCTGGCAAAAATTGTACATGCGAGAGCACTTACAATGCAATTTTCCATATAATCAATGTTTCCAAGGAGCATAACTCTTTTAAAACTAATTGATCAGCACTGATTTTCAAACTCCTTAAAAACATTGCTGATATAAACCTATGACATAAGTTTCATAAAAATCTGGCAAGAATTGTACACATGAGAGCACTAACAGTGCAATTTTCCAAATTATTAATGTTTCCAAAGGGCATTTCTTTTTTTAAAATAATTGATCAGCACTGATTTTTTAACTCTCACAGACATTGCTGATATAAACCTATGATATATGTTTCATAAAAATATGACAAGAATTGTACACATGAGAGCACTAACTGTACCATTACAATTTTCCAAATTATTAATGTTTCCAAGGGCATAACTCTTTTAAAAATAATTGATGGGCACTGATTTTCTAACTCGTCCAAGATATTGCTATTATTGACCTATGATATAAATGTTTCATAAAAATCTGGCAAGAATTGTACAAATGAGAGCGCTAACAATGCAATTTTCCATATAACTGATGTTTCCAAGAGGCATAACTCTTTTTAAAAAATAATTCGTCTGCACTGATTTTTGAACTCCTCAAAGACATTGCTGATATTAATCTATGATATAAGTTTCATGGAAATCTGGCAAGAATTGTACAGATGAAAGAGCTAACGATGCAATTTCCCATAAAATTAATGCTTTCAAGGGGCATTACTCTTTTAAACAATTGATCAGCACTGATTTTCCAAATCGCCCAAGACATTGCTGATATAAACCTATGATATGAGTTTCATAAAAATCTGGCCAGGTTTGTACATGTGTACACGTGAGAAAGCTAACAAGACCGGATGGACGGACAATCGGACGCCCGTTATTTCTATGTCCCCTGCAACATGTTGCGCAGGGGACAACAATGGTCCCTCTCAAACATTTAAGACTAGAATATAATTCATGACCAAGAACTCTTTTTTGTTGATATTGTATTGCTACATCATTTTTTGGTTCTCAGTTTCTATCTATCTACTAAGTTTTGTCCCCCCCCCCCTTTAAAAAAGGGCTTAAAATTGCTATCCAAGCGCAATAACTTTTATAAAGAGTGTACTTAAAATTTCAGCTTTGTTGACCTTTGAGTAGATCATGTTTTACTGATCATTTTTGCTGTTTACAGTTTCTCTTTATCTTAAACAATTTTTGCCCAAAAAAGGGTAAAAAATCATCATTCAACTGACAATTTCCACAATGATTACTCATTTGTAAATATTGTCCCACTAACCATTTTTTGTGATTTACAGTTTGTCATCTATAATAGTTAAATTTGGTATAAATCATCATGATCATCATGAATGGGCAAAACATGTTCCCAAATAGATTTATTTCAAAAGGCTTAATGCTTGGTAAAGCAAATCTCTTCATAATACATGTAGTACATTATAGGCTCTAAAGCATGTTTTGGAGACAGAAGCACTAACACAGTTGATGTTATTTGAGGCAGAATGGGATCTGGTGGAATGTACAAATGTTTTTCTTCTCTTATATCAACAAACCTAAAATGTGAAGGTACGGTCTGCAGTACAATTTTTTTGTTACATGTAACAAGGCAGAAAAAAGATAAGTTTGTGTCTGCATCAAATACCCTTTCATATATTATACGTTTTGGATTATAATCATTCAGTGAACAAACATTTATGACAATTACATGGCTTTAATCAATTCTGTTGTAATTTTTTTATAAAAAAATAAAGTCAGCAGTAACAACAACTGATATATATGTTTGGGAAAAGATTTAGAAGAAATCCTAATTACAAAACTAAAGGGACAGTCTTGAAACCATATCCACACACATTCTTTTTTAATCAAATTACAAGTTTCCCTGACAAAAAGGATCACCTTCAATGGAAAAATTACTGTTTTGACACAAACTTTACCAGACTGATGTCAGTGGAAAGACTTATCCTGCATTTATGTAAAGGTTATATATGGAATGGCACATCCAGGAAATACGTCTGAACAAAAAACCCTGGACATCTGAATGTGGTAAACTGATATATATATACACATTAAGTCATTGAGATATGACATGCTATACATGATATAAACGAAGCCCTTATATTGCTGGCATTTTTTACTTATTTCCATATTTCTCCCATTTACATATGTTTGGCTTCTATTAAAGATCTGTATTTTTTAATAAGAATATATTTTAAATAACTCTCGAATAATATTTAGAATTCTTATTAGGTATTCTTATTGTATGCTTGATCGCCATGCTTGATGCTAAGAGTTGTGAAAATAAGATCCATGTCCATTAAAAGTTACATTAAGATTACATTGTTTTTGTTTTATGTTTAAACTTGTAATTCTCGACTGTTTTGTTAATAGTTATATTCTGTGTTACATTGCGCTATATTTTGTGGTTTTTTTGCTTGAACCATATGGGTGGAATTTGCAAACAAAATTATTTAATTAAGACATAGCTTTGTTTAATTACATGTATGAACATGATGAAAGTTACAACTTTGTAAATTAAATTAGTACGCTTGGTATTATGATGAGTAAAATTTGTGATTGTGTGAATTGTAGAACAAAAATACTAAATCTTATTTCACTTCATTTTTACTTGGCTCCTTAATTAGATCTCATATCAAAGTGAAACCTAGGAGATTTCTGTAAGTTATAACAGATAATGTTTACTTACATGACAAACATCATTTAAAGAACAAAGGACAATTAATGATGTCCCGAAGTTTACATGTTTACATTTTCACATTATCCTTTCAATACATTTAATTTCAACAATTAATCATGAATATAGGCGAACAGACATGGGGAAAACAGGTTTTATTATATGGCCAGATCGAACTGTATTAGGCCTAGTACTAGTACTGGCAGTAGCAGAAACAATCATGATTCATATTTTAAACTGATATTTTGTTTTGATTTGAGATCTAATTAAGGAGCCAAAATGTGGGAAATTGGGAATAAATAACTCTGGAGGGAGGGAAATTGAAACAAACAGTATTTTGCGTAAAACTACCACCTTCGAATAATAACTGACTGTTAAATTACAAGTTGAAGGTAGTGCTGCCTTAAAAGGCCGCATGTTATGTTATTGTTGACTTACTTTTACAATCATCGTCTGCACAAAGTCGCAAATCTGAAATTTTTGACCCTGAACATTGAATGGTATAAAGCAATACAATAAACACTTTTGAAATCATCTGAAAACGACAAACAAGCCGTGGTTTCATTTCAATTTGTTTTCAATGGCTTGTACACGTAAGAAAATCAGCTGCAATATTTTGAACATCCGGTAGACTGTTTCTAGATATGTGTAATGTTGAATGTACTATGAAAAGAATACAGGGACCAGTTCATCTGGAACCAGACCAACTCGGACCAAAGAAAACTCGGAACAAGACAACTCCGACCAATTTTTAGACAAATCGGACCAACACGAAAGACAACTTCGACCAGCTTTAACAACTGGTCAGACCCAATTAAGGTCACCTTTACTTATCATGTTCAAAGGCAACTCAGACCACTCGAAAAGACGACTCTTAAAAATATGACAAATATATTTTTTTTTCAAATAAAGAATTTTTTTGTTATTCATTTATTTTACTTTTTATTTTACGTAGAGGGTGCATGTACGGAGCGGACCCCCATACCATTGACACAGTAATCGAATAACACGGGAAAATACTAATGTCACAGCAATCAAATAACACGGTTGAATGCTAATGTCACAGCAATCTGATTATGAATATCATGGGTAAATACTAATGTCACAGCAATCCAATAACACAGGTAAATGGTAATATCACATCAATCCAATATCACTGGTAAATGCTAATGTCACAGCAATAAATTCAATAACACGGGTAACTGCTATTGACAACAACTTCATTAACACAGTGAAACTACCACAGAACTGCACGAAACACAACAACTTGAAAAATAGGCAAAAACACACCAAAACAAAAAGTACCGAATTAAGTGTACTGGAAGCTATTAAAATAAAGTTTAAATCTAATTTCAACCAATGAATAAACCATGTTTTCCCAGTTTAAAATATGAATCACTGCACATCCCATGAATTTAACATTACATATTTATTTATATTTATACTGTTTCTTTATTTTTATTGGTCTTTGTATGTTTGATCTGTCTATACCAGTGCACGGGGGGGGGGGGGGGGGGTCTCTTCCTATATGAAGGTATATACATATGTGCCGCTGGAATGGGTCCCTTTTTTGATACGTCAAATATATCAATGGGGTGCAATTTTACTGAGGAAATATATCAATAGGTAGTAATTGACCAATTGTGATATATCAATGGGTCATAATTTTTCAGTTTGTTGTACAACGATCTTCACTGAATTTCCCAAACTCTTTGTCATTAAATTTTTTTAATATATAATAAGATTGTATATGCATATAGGTACTATTTGAGCTGATAAATATATGAATGGGTTATGATTTCGCTGTGAAATATATGTATAGGTAGGGATTTCACAATTATTCAATATATGAATGGTGGTGTTTTTTAAATCCCAGCTGCACAACTGTACCCAAAATCCCATGTTGAGACCCCCCCCCCCCCCCCCCGTGTACCCCACCATTTTTTTTGACGATCAATGCATTTGAATGGGGACATATAGTTGGAACCCCCCCCCCCCCCTTTATAAATGGCTGGATCCGCCCCTGTATACCTAGTTATCACATAAAGTACTATTTACGCTCAATACAACAAAATGGATTTTTAGAGTTGGAGAATTGACCTCATGATTCATTTTATAAATACGATAAGGAAAATATATAAAACGATTGCAATTCAGCCATCATATCACCCATTACCAATCTTTATACTCGGCCTAAGCTTGATCAGCTGTGTTTGTCATTGTTGTGAGTCATCATCAGTTGATTCGGCATCATCGATCGTATTCAATCGTTACGATCTTTTAAGGGGTGGTCAATTTAATCAACTGTATCATATATGGTTTTCGAGGGTCACGATCGTATTAATCGTATTCAATCGTTACGATCGTTTACGAATTGATCAATCCAAATAACTGTCTCTTCTCGGTTTCAAGGGTCACGATCATACCGATAATATTCAATCGTTACGACTGTTTAAGAGTTTATCAATTCCATCAACTCTCTCATCTGGATTTCAAAGGTCGCGATCGTACAAGTCATATTCAATCGTTACGATCATTTAAAAGTCGATCAATTCAATTCCTCTTCTAGATTCCCGATTATATCGATCTTCTCTAATCGTTCCGTTCAGTTAAGATTTGATTGATTTAATCAAGTGTCTCTTCTTATGTTCAAGGCACACGATCGTATCGATTGTATTCATTCGTTACGATCGTTTAAGAGTTAATCAATTCATCAACTGTCTCATGTGGTTTTCAAATGTCACGATCTTATCAATTGCATTCAATCGTTATGATCGTTAAAGAGTCGATAAATTCAGCAACGATCTCTTCTTGCGCTCAATATTCACGATTGTATCGATCGTATTCAATCGTTACGATCTTTTACCGGTTGAACAATTCAATCAGATGTCATATATATATATATATATATATAATATAAATATACAACTCGTCTAAACATCAGCCCAACAATGTTAGATCTGTAAATTTTGTTCTTCCCTCGCCGGGATTCGAACTCATGCTATATATATATATATATGGTTGTTTTCAAGACTCACGATCGTATCGATCGTATTTAAGCGTTACGAATGTAATCCAATCCAATCGACTGTCTCATGTGATTTTCAAGGGTCACTGTCGCATCAATCGTTACGATCATTAATGAGTTGATCAGTTAAACTGTATCATATGATGTTTTGAAGGGTCAAGATCTTATCAATTGTATTCAAGCGTTATGATCGTATTAGAGTTGATCAATTCAACTGTATCATATGATGTTTTGAAGGGTCACGATCTTATTAACCGTATTCAATCGTTATGATCGTTCAAGAGTTGATCAATGAAATCGTCAGGTTTTTCAGGGGTCATGATCGTATCAATCTTATTCAGTTGTTACTATCGTTTAAGAGTTGATCAATTTGATTTATTGTCTCGTCCTGCTTGAAATATTATAATAACACCTTTTCTTCAGACGGTTCTAACAAAGCCGGATGAGTTTTCAAATAAACTGAATAGGTTGAACTTATAACCTGTTAACTAATCGGTTATAAAATAATATGATAGCTGTCAAGATTCACAATCGTAAAAATCGTCATCCATCGTTAAAATCGTGTAAGAATTTATCAATCAATCAATTATTCCTTCTGGTGTTCAAGGGTCACGATTGTATCAACCTTTATCGATCGTTACGATCTTTCAATTGTTAATCGATTTAATCAACTGCCACTTCTGGTGTTCAAGGATAGACGATCGTATTCAACACTTACAACAGTATTAAAACATTTGACTTTTCTACACTTTACACAAGTATTCCCCATTCCAAACTAAAAGACAAATTGAAAGAGTTGGTATTACTTTGTTTCATTAAAAAGAATGGCGAACGTAGATACAAGTATCTTGTCCTGGGGAGGGATAAATCCTACTTTGTAAAGAATCATTCTGATTCAAACAAAAAAAATCTCTGAAACTGACATTATCAAGATGCTTGATTTCTTGATTGACAACATATTTGTTACGTTTGGAGGACGTGTTTTTCAACAGACTGTCGGAATTCCAATGGGAACCAATTGTGCCCCTCTTCTTGCCGACTTGTTTCTTTATTATTATGAGGCTGACTTCATACAGGAACTTGCTAGGAAGAAAGATAAGAAGTTAGCAATATCCTTTAACTTTACGTTCCGCTATATAGACGATGTTCTCTCACTAAATAATACAAAAATTGGTGACTATGTTGAACGAATCTATCCCATCGAACTAGAGATAAAGGATACTACAGATACAGTTAAGTCTGCCTCATACCTTGACTTACATCTAGAAAATGACAATGAGGGTCGGTTGAAAACAAAACTTTACGACAAAAGAGATGATTTCAGCTTCCCAATTGTGAACTTTCCATTTCTATGTAGCAACATTCCAGCAGCGCCTGCATACGGAGTATATATCTCCCAGTTGAAACGATATTCCCGGGCTTTTATTTCCTTTCATGATTTCCTTGATAGAGGATTGCTGCTCCGGCACAAGGAAGCTATTAAACCAAGAGTTCCAAATGGTGAAGTTGAAATCATCCCTTCGTAAAATTTACGGACGCCATCACGAGTTGGTTGACCGTTATGGAATAACCGTTTCACAGATGATATCGGATATGTTCCTTATGTCGTAACTACAATACTCTTCCCTTTTCACGAATGTGACCTACCGAATTAGACTATTTACCGGATTTGTAATAACATAAGCAACACGACGGGTGCCACATATGGAGCAGGATCTGCTTACCCTTCCAGAGCACCTGAGATCACCCCCATTTTTTGGTGGGGTTCGTGTTGCTTAGTCTTTAGTTTTCTATGTTGTGTCATCTGTACTATTATTTGTCTGTTTGTCTTTTTATTTTTGGCCATGGCGTTGTCAGTTTGTTTTCGATCTATGAATTTGACTGTCCCTCTGGTATCTTTCGTCCCTCTTTTACAATCGTTTAAGAGTTCATCGTGTTTGCAATTTTTATGGAGATGATTAAGTTGATATATGGTCATTAATCGAGATCAATCGTATCTATCGTAAGGTCGAGGGTTTGCAATTTTCATCGACATTCGATTGAATCGTCTTTTTACAGTCTTTAATATCTATTGTTCAATTAAATGCTGTTGTTGGATTTTCACTATCATAATAAATTCGCTTAAAGTTATATGATACGAGTTTCTCGGTATTTTAATGTTCAAGAAATAATTGAACCAATGCATGCATATATAATTACCAAACTAAGTCATCTAAGCACGTTTTTTGTTAAATCTATTCCGAATCTACAACGTATTATCGACAAACAATATTTCATTCAGTGATTGTTGATAACAAGCTAGTTAATTTTCAAGTTTGTTGCTGAAGTTTATCGGATCGTGACATTGATAAACAATCAACATAGAATCGTGGACCACGTGAAAAATAAGAGACTTGATAGAGCTATGTAAACTTTTTTATAAATACATTGTCCATGCGTTCCGATATGTTAATTAAACTTATCCATAACAGTTTTAAAAAGATTTTTTGTATACAATTTGTTTTTTAAGAACAAATTATTGCTATATACCTTCCAGTGAACGTTTGCTTTCATTCTTTCATGACTTTGCTATGCGGTGGCCAAATTTCTAACG